TACATTACATGAGACTTTGTGAAGCTGGAGGAAAACATGCCTCATCACTGTCAGATCAATTTCAAAACCGTGTACGTCTTTTTTCTTTTTTTTTGCACATTATGAAAATACATGCTGCCTTTTACATTCTGATGAACGAGTCAACAGAAACTGTCCAAAATTGCTTAATAATGAAACAGGTTTTTTTTACTTCTTTTTCATAGACATGAGGCTTTGTTACAACAACAACAATCATGCATGGGATTATTTGCAATGTCTTAATTCAGTGATTTGTCTTGCACACAGTATTTATCATCATGTACACCTAGATGCTAGCTTTGCTCAGACTAATATGTAGGGTAGTTAAACAAAACATGCTTCTGAATATCACACACCACCGTGATAATAACGTCTGCATGTTTTTCAGGCACACAAATTAGTGTCAGAGCTCTGGCTGGACCTGCGAGTCACCCAACAATACCCTCCATTGATCTGACCTTTACAAGCCTCCCAGCAACAAAACACTCAACAGTCCGCCGAAAAACGAGATATGACACATCCGTTCAACACAGCCGGCCACCCGCTGAGCTGGTTTGTCACCTCCAGAAATGGAGCCATGAAAACGTGGACTGATACAAGAGAACAGTCCAATACTGCATTGTAACGAATAATTATAGTGTCCACATTTTCTACATGTCCTAGATTTTTTCTTCACTTTCCTTCATTCATCCACCTATGACGCTTGTGCGGTTTTATGTACCAAAAACAGTCACAAGACCATTTTCCAACCTATTTTTATTCTTAGAATTAAACAAGCTGTTTAATTCTACAGTGCCTTCAAGACTGATATATGTAAATGACCTCTGTTCTGATTGGCTGCCTTGTATTGTGCTTCAGTTATAAAGCACTCTAAGTTGTAGTACTCCTTATAACTTAAGCTAGAATGATCAGGACTAAATTGCTGTAAGCAGAAAAGGTGGATATATCATTGTGTTGGTTTCATGACATCACAAAAAGCAATTATTTCCAAATGGACTGTTTTTGCACCTTATTTTCCATACATAGATTGTATAAACTAAGGAATATATAACTAATGTTTACATGCTACATCAAACTCTTTTGTACTTCTTGAAAGAAAACTTCAGTTTTTCATGACATGGAGCCTTTAAAAGAACTTTCCAGTTTAATCTGTCAAATCTGTAGCATGCTACAGATTACTACAAACATTACTTAAAATTAGTAGAAAGCAACTTAAAAATGCACTTACAATAGAGGCCAGTGGGTATGTGCCCCTTCCCATTGGCTTGTACTATAAGTATAATTCATGTCAAGAGGTTTTCTACTGTTTCCTAAGTACAGGAAAATAAAGGGAAATCATTGTTTTTGGTACTCGACCGTATTTGACAGATGTAGCAAACAAAGATTAGGTTGGAAAAGTGGAAGAGTTTTCCTTTAACACAGCTGAAAGCAGTCAGATGCAATGCAGCACAACAACAACTGCAGAGAGGATGCTAACAGCTACAAAAGAAACGCAGCAGAGGACAGAAAGAACCCGAGCATGCATAATTACTGTTTCTATGACAGTGTGACTGCTGGACTGAAATAGACACCGCTGCAGTTACAGGCAAAGGAAGCCCCCCAACTGCAATCTGAGTTGGCAACGGCACAGCGTAATATATATGGTAATATATCCCCACCCTGGCAGCGCTGTTTATCTTCATACAGAAACAGTCACCCCACTGATGGAGAGGTGAGAGAAATGACTGATGGATGATACATCAACGCTTGTGTCTATTAAGTGTTCAAAGGTATGTATCACTGTCATAACAAAGACTTTTTAAATTCCACCGATTTTTCTAAATTGCTGCATAATTCAGTCGTTGAGATGTAAACAGTCATTCACAGTAGTTTGATGAGAAATGGTTCATTGTCAAGAAACTTACTCAGATTTCTTTCTGCTTGAAGTATACGAACCTCCTGATGAGTAAGTATCGGCCAGTTAGTAGTTACAGACCCAAACAGGGTGAGGCAGCATTCAGTCATTATGCTGCCAACTGCTGAAACAAACTCCCAGATAAAGTCCGATATGTTTCAAAAGTAGCTCTAAGTCCAATTTAAAGATGTTCTTCATTTCTTCTGCCTTTGTTAAGCAATGCACTACAGTATTGTTATCCTTTTATGTCGTCGTTTATCTCTGCAATGCACTTTAATTTTAATTTTTTCTAACTACTTTTGCAAATGCCTTTCTGAGGTTCTAGATCTCAGGACGTCATTAGCTTTATTGTTTAACGCTTTTTGTTTCTGTGTTTGGGTGAAGCTCAGAGTATGAAAGGTGCTAAGGCCTTGCCTTACCCTATAGTGGTGGTGACAGGGGTCACCATGTCTACAACACAAATATAGTTTTATTTAGTATCCAAAATCACCAGTGAACCTAAGCATATCTTCTGAGTTTTTATATGTAATGCTGATGATGGTAAAAAAAAGTACCCTGCGTGTGCCCCTCCACCATAAATGTATTTAAAAATATATATGTTTTAGGCCAAAACCATCTCAAAAATGTTGTAACACAATGTGTCGGACATCAGGCAGCATAACCATAACCATTTATAACTAATAAAATAACTTTCTTTGAGGGACCTTTCAGAGGCATTAAACTCTTCAGATGTCTGGTTCCCATCACCACCACTGTGAACAATTCTCTAGACTTGTTTCTCTAGAATGCAGCATTTCACACCAAACAACTCTGAATGACTTTGTTGTCATTGCATCCTGCTGAAATTTTAAAAAATGGTGGAATTTCCCTTTAAACCATTTATTTATTTATTTATTTATTCATTCATTCATTCATTCATTCACACTATTTGCCAACCATACTTTACATTCTGTGAACATTTCATTATGACTGGACCAATAGAAATGATTCACAATTACTTGCAATTAAACCTTTTTATATTAACTTACATTAATATTTTTTCCTTCTCCTAAAAAAGTTACCATTTCAGAGATACGATGATTTGCTATGGCAGCAGTGTTATGTATCAATGCAAAGGCTAAAGTCACTTGGAGCTCACCTATTTTGAAGTTTCATAACTTTCTATTTCTATACTTACTTTTCCTTTAATCTTTCTCTCAAAATATTAGCAAATTTCTAACCTTTATTTAAGGTATAATAATTGAAAAAAAACTAAATTTTGTTGTTTTTTTAAATCTATGTGTGCCACAATTATTGGCACCCCTAGAAATTCTTAAGAATGAAATCTAACTGAAGTATATTTCCATTCATATTTCATGTTTTTAAGTTCACCTGAGCAATAAAGAGCACTTAAATGGTCAGCCATGACTTCCTGTTTCACTGTGGAATATATATGAGATGAAACACAGACCAGCCCCCCTCTGTCATCCATCACTTTGAGAAAGACCAGAGAAAATAGCAAAGATGTTCGACAAAAGGTTGTTGAGCTGCACAAATCAGGAAATGACTACAAGAATATATAAACAGTTGAAAATGCTCTTTTCCTCTACCAGGGCAATAATTAAGAACTTTAAAACAATTGGAGATGTTAAGAATCTGGTGAGAAGAGGATGTATGTCTGTACTGACCCCACTCACAGTGTGAAGGGTAGTTTGAGTGGGCAATGATCAAAGATGTAGAAATGAAGAACCATAAGTTGTTTGAGGGGTTGCCAGAAGAAAGCTTCTGCTGTCAAGGACCAACAAACCAACAAAAGCACAGTTTGCCAAACATTACTAGAACTTTCAGTGGGACTATGTTGTCTGGTCAGCAGAAAAGTACCTCATCCCACTGTGAAGTATGGTGGTGGATCTGTGATGTTGTGAGGTTGTTTCTCTTCCAAAGGCCCTAGATAATTTATTCAGATACAGAGTATCACAGAGTCCATCAAGTACCAGCACAAATAAAACCAAACCTGACTGCCTCAGCCAGGAAGCTTAAATCTGGGCCATAGTTTGGATCTTCCAGCAGGACAGTGATTCAAAGTACACATCAAAATCAACACAAAAGTGGTTCAATGACCACAGAATTAAGGTTTTGCCATGGTCACCCCAATCCCCTGACCTAAACCCCATAGAAAACCTAAGTGATGAGCTGAAGAGGGTAGTCCATAGTGTGGACCTGGGAATCTGAAGGCTCTGGAGAGGCTCAGTACGGAGGAATGGTCTCAGATCATTTGCCATGTGTTCTCCAGTGTCATTAAGCATTGTAGGAGAAAACTCAGAGCTGTTATCTTTGCAAAGGGAGGCTGGACAAAGTATTAAATGAAGGGGTGCCAATAATTATGGCACACACAGATTTGAGAAAAATATTTATTTCTGAATAAGATTTAGGTTTTGTTTTTTTTTTTCAATCATTGTACTTCAAATAAAGATTTATGTAAATATTTTGAATGAAACTTTAAAAGGATCAGCAATAAAGAACGTTTTTACAGCCTGTCTTGCTCTTGTTTACCAGGGGTGTCAATATTTGTGGAGGGCGCTGTATATGAGGAAGATCTGTCACAAGTGCACCTGGACGACATCACATCATACCATGGTGACTGTCAACTGACAAGAGGACCACTTTCTTTAACAAGACAAAGAAAGAGGAAATGTGCCTCAATCACACTATTGGGGTGCAGAGACAGTCATATGCAAAAGTCTGGCCACCCCTGAGCAAATTACGGGTTTATAAGTAGACATGAACACACTTCTGCTCATTTGAATACACTTTAACTACATTTTTCACTTTTGCTATCTTGTACCTTTAAAGGGAAAAATAAAACTTAAATTGGGGCCTGTGCAAAAGTTATGGCACATCATATATTGCAGAACAATGTCATATTAAAGTTTGTTCCCACGTGTTCACTTTTTTTCAAACAAAAAAATCGGAAAATCAACAAAATATGTAATCTGACCAGGCGTGGTCAAACTTCTGCATATGTCTGTTTTCTATATACAGCTCAGCAGGGCGGCGCACCTGCCTGTTTGTAATAATACAACTAACCTGTTAACACTTTCGGTTTCACTTTTTCACAAGTGAAACCATCTTACTCACAGGAGAGCAGCTCTGCTGTCCACTTCAGCCAGTATGGACGAAGCGGTGGACACCACGGAAGAGTTAGAGTTGTGTAGCCACTGGTAAGTTTTAATCCAGCCTGTTTTGTATGACAGTGTAATGGCTTTACTTCACTCAGACTGTTCACCGCATGAGGACTCCTGGAGTTCTGTAGTTAGCTTGTAGTCGCTAACAGGTCAGTTACAGTAGATACTGCCTTACATAACAGGCTAAATCCGGTGAAAGACAACAGACAGAAGCTGCTTAACAACATGTCCCAACCAGTGTTACTGAACTAACATTCTACAGCCACAAGACTTAAAACTAAACACGGCTGAAAACGAAACTAACCGTGACGACTTTACTTCATAACTGCTGCTGAGAGAACCGCAGAGATTAGACTCGACACAGAACAGCAGCCTCTGCAGCTCTGTAACTCGCAGAGTCAGCTTCACATAAAAAAGGCATAGAAAGGCAAGTAAACAGTAGCATGAGTAATAAATACACACACACACACACACACACACACACACACACTCAGAGCTAAGGCCAATTTAGCATCTCCAATTCGCCTGACTGCATGTCTTTGGACTGTGGGAGGAAACTGGAGCACCCGGAGGAAACCAAAATACACACTATATATTTATATGTGTGTGTGTGTGTGGTGTGTGTGTGTGTGTGTGTGTGTCTGAAATACACACTATGAATTGAATTATTGCACTATGAATTATTGCCCTGTACAGCAGGTTTTATTGTCTCTCCCTGCTGTAACACAGCTCCTCATAACTGGCTTGATTATAAGTTGATTCATTTCATCAGGTGTGTTGGAGGCAAGAGAAAAGCTGAAGGAATGGATTAGGCTTAGTACTGGACTAAATTGTAATGTAAGGGTTGACTCTCCATTAGGGATGCACCAGTCATGAAGTTTTATGGGCAATACAGATTTCTTTGCAGCCAAACTGGCCAGTTTTTACTAACCTTTTTTATATTTGTATTTAGCCTATTTTATCTTTGTTTTATTATGATTTTATTAAGGCAAAGTTACAATATAAATAACATGTTTTGCTCTTTGATGAGCCAAACTGAAAAATGACACTCAGAGTTCTTGAATAAAAAATCACTTATCTATTTACTTAACAAGTATCAAAGTGAAAGTAGGAGACGACTGGATATTTATCATTATGAGTCACGTTTAATTAATTATGCTATGAATCGCATCGTGAGTTCCTAAATTTCACCACTTGAAGTGCTTGGGAATGAGCTGATGAGTTGAATTAGGAGTGTTGGAACAAAGGGACTGAAGGAATGGATTAGGTTTAGTCTTGGACTAAACTCCTAAGTGTTGTATGTCCACCCTATCATACTTTTTTTTTCAATTTTTAAAGGTACAACCTAAGAATTTTGACTTTTTCCAAATATCACTTAACGTTACTGAACTGTCCATGTATAGCCACATGCCAAAGTTGGTTAAATGACATTTTCTGAAAATAGATTAACACATTGTTTGCAGAGAACACACTTTGCACATTTTAATGCACATTATTTTTTATTTGCTGAATTTGATATATTAGAAAAAAATATAAATGATAAATTGTCCTGTGCAAAAGTTATGGCACATTTTATGTTATGTTTTCTTTTCTTCCAATATGTTAAACTCAGCAAATAAATAGAAATAGTGCACTAAAACTTGCAGAGAAAGACCATAATTAAGTTTGTTGTTTGTAGAGGATGTGTTAACTTATTTTTACTCAGAAAATCAACAAAACATGTAATTTGACTGGGGTCGCAGGGGTGGGTGTTCAAACTTTTGCATACTATTATATGTGGACAAAATTCTTTAAAAAAAATTAAAAATCCATATGTCTTCCTTTTTTTTAGGAGAAGTCCTAACAATTCCTTAAACAAATATCATTTTTAAAAACACAATAAATGTACAGGGGAATTATATTGTGTATTGCATATTTATGTGATATATTCTTATTAGAATTTGTGTTCACCTGCACCAAAAGAAAATGTATATTTCGTCTTATACTTGGCTAATAAAACATTCTGATGCTGATTCCGACTCCAGGAGCAGGACTGAAAGATTTTGTAAGAATCTTTATTGGCCAAAAACAGTCCAAAAATGCTTTTGCCAGATTATATTCAGAGGACTTGTCAGAGAAAAGCAGAACAAAATTAATAAATCACTTAAGAAATTGTTGGTTAAATGTTAAAAAAAGGGTTAATTGATTCAAAATAAAAGAAAAGAATAAAATAGAAAAAAGGCCAGATCTCAGCTTTCTTTTAGATCGCTCAGAAAGGCCCAAGTGTTCACTTCGTAACCCAAACAACTGAGATAAGGTAGCTGTCACTGGTATACAGCCTTACTTTCGCCCTCCGTGAGCCAAGCTACTGCTTGACCACCTGGGTTTCCAGAATTAACCCCTTTTAGGCCACTTCTTCACACATCATACAGTGGTGACAAAGCCAGTAATCTTTTAGCATTTCCCAATTTGGACATAGGCCAAGCTGATTAACTCATCCTAGCTGATGTTCGTTCTGTCTACTGATTACCCAAAAGAGACAAACCAGCAGCTCAAATCAGGCCTCGGCTCGCTCAAACTTTAACACATAACATGAGATTCCACTCTTTTCCTTTTTTTAAAACTTAATACTGTATAACACAGGATTAAAAGAGATTACTCAAATGATTACAAACACATAGTTAATAAAACAAATCACTTAAAATTAAAACATTAAAATAATGTACATTATAATAAAAATAATCTTGTTCATTCAACAAACTTTAAAAGGCAAGGCAAGTTTTTTTTTTTATACAGCACTTTTTTACAATGCTGTCATATGACAAATGAGCTGCAAATCGGTCCATTTTGGCTACTGCTTCTGCCCAGAATGAGGGCAATACAGGACAGCTCATTTACATAGATCAGTCTTAAAGACACAGTAACAGAAACAGCCTTTTTTTATTTTTTAAAGAGAGGCTGGAAAATGATCATATAAAAATGAATTATGACTATTTTTGGTACACAAAACCATACCTACATTATAAGTAGATGTCAGGGTAAAAATAAAATACAAGAAAAAATGTAGGATATAGGCCCTTTATACATTCCTGAGAACCTCAGTCCCATATAACTCAAGTGAAAGCAATTGGTTTTGTGATTTGACTTTTAAATCACTGGAACAGGAGGACTGAAGCTAAAACGAAACTGACGATGCAGTGTAATTTTAGGCCTGAGAGGAAGCAGAAGAATAGAATACCAGTCCTAGCATAATTACACTGGTTTCACATGTACTCTTGGGATTTGAGTGAAACTGATTTGAATGCTCTTTTTTAGTGGTTTTGAATACAATCTTCTAAATCTAACTTTAGTTTACTGAACACGTTAAGAGCGACATATAATAAAAACAGTGAAGTTTTGTTTTTAATGTACTTAAAATGTTAATGATAATAATTTTATATGGACCCCCAGCTCCTCAGATTTGGAGTGCTCATCTAGGATCTGTCCCAGTCAGTAAAGACATGAATCTGATCCTAAATCATCACTGCTACTCTAAGACACGTTGTGAATATGGAAGTAGGGTATTGCTGCCGCTTCGGAGACGCCACGCTCTCAGGCTAAATGCTCATGTGTGTGCAGTTAGTGCCAGCATACATTATCTCTCTTGCCTCTTCACCAGGAACAAAAAGTTTAAATGTGTATTTTTCACACTTATGAATACAAATGCCTACCAACAACAAGGGTTTAGTCTAGAAAGATACTTTATCATAATTTATGAATCTGTATCAGTCTTCAACTAACTACAACATTCATAGCATCCTATTAGCTACTTGCTAACCAGTTGCATTTGTATCTGATTTAACTTACATGCTTTGATGTTAATCTTTGCCACTGTGTAGTTACCTACAACATATCACATGCTACAGAACGCAACAGAACACGCTATATTTCACAAGTATTGCACTTTATTTATTTATTTTATGAGCAAGCCATGACATAAAAGTAGCCTGACCTGCTAACAGGTTAAAGCTAACAGACTAACCAAGCCTCTTTGGAAATATTCAGTTACAGACTTTAACTTTAAGTATTTATTGAAAGGATCAGATTTCATGTATTCAGTCATCAGTTGACTATTTTTCCACAGCTGCTTTGAATTCCTCAGGTGAACTGCCATTAGCTTAGTGCTAGCGATGCTACCGGAATTAGCATTTATGTTGGCAGTGTTAATCACCCAACGAAAGGCTTAATTTTATTAAACATTGCTGTGTGTGACAGATACACAGCTCTGTCTGAGTCTTAAACTTGTATTTACTATGTACTGATTCACTACATATGGAACGAGTGAGCAAATCTGAGAGCGAGCGGATGCTGCTGAAAGCGCTGTAGCCTGAAAGTGCAGCAGGCTAAGAGCGCAGCATCTCAGAACCTGCAGCTGGGAACTATTGGGAATATGGGCCCAGGTCTGTAAAGCACTTCAGTATTCCCAGCTTATCGTTGGCCTTTCCATCTTAGGTAAAAGTAAAAGTGAATGTAAACATATCACAGGGCAGCTCTTTCTTATCAGCCACTCCTTTTCTAGTTAAGCTGATGTTTGGTGATATGAAGAAGACAATAATACCAGTTGCAATATTTTAGTACTTGTTTGTGTTCCATTATTAGATTGTCAACAAATGCTGCTTCTTTAATGTTCCTCTAATGTCCAACCACAGCAATAAAGAGGTGGCCAAGGTCAACTATTCCATGCATGAAGCTCACTGCAAGCGGTTTCTCTGTCTGTGCCCTGACTGTGGTGATTCAGTACCTAAGGAACAACTCGAGGAACATAGAGAGGAACAACACACTGTGGTAACAAGCATACAACACTATACTTAACCTTTCAAACTCTTAAAGCCTTATTGTTCAGTTATTTATCTCAAGACTTATTATTCACACTTTAAAATTAATGTGGCGCAAAGGGTTCTATGAGCAATGCCATAAAAGAACCATTTTAATTGCCTAAAAACATGTTTGTAAATGAGATATGTGAGAGTGAAGAACCTATTAGGGCATCACATTCACATTGTGTGAATGTTTTATTTAATGTTTATTTTAGAGTGTTCAGCAATTACTATGAAGTAGAAGTGGATGCTATGGCAAAAATATAATATCATGATACTTAAGTTTTCATGATACATGACGTCACAATATTTATTTATTTTCTTACATCTGGTAAGTCGGAACAGACAAAAAAAGAACCAGTAGTACCACATTTTAATAATAATACTCACCAACACTATGAATAAAATTATTTATATTCAACATTTTACAACCTGCACTGCTCTAAATCCAGTTAAACAGGACTAATGATGCTCTCTTTGTTATCAAACATGGATTTGGGAAGTGTTTCTTAAGTACTGCCAGTGTAGACACCACGGTCAGAAAAGCTTATTGTGACATTGTGAAGTAATTTATCACAATAATGATAAACATTGCCATATTGCACAGCCATACTATAAAGTATTATTAGACCTAAACATTAAGCCGGACCTTTTTTTGAGATTGTGACAACTTTTTATCCTCCCATGTGAGATCTGGTGTCTGTAAAATAAAGAAAGCCACTATAAAGTTAATGCTAATTATAATTACAGTATAAATGTGATAAACAGGATTTTATTTTTCTGGTCATCAATTCTGAATCTTGGCCACAAGATTCATTGAGGCCAGCACAAGTGTTTATATGTCTTCCCCTGACTTGTGAGTATATACATATAAAAGCATGTACACTAGTTGGCCAAAAGTATGTGGATATCTGACCTTCACTCTTATACGAGTTTGTTGGACATCACATTCCAACACCTTGAGCATTAATATGGGGTTGGCTTCCCCTTTGCAGGTATAGCAGCTTCTACTCTTCTGGGAAACTTTCCACACATTTTGGAGTGTGTGTGTGGGAATTTGTGCCTATTCAGTCAAAATAGCATTTGCAAGGTCAGCACTGATGAATATCCTGACACATAGTTCTTGTGCTTCTGTTGCTTTCAGAGGCGGTTTGGAAGTCTGTGGTGAGAGATACAACAGTGTATAGGCGATTTTACATGCTTCAGTTCTCATCAGCACTGCTCTGTGAGTTTGTGTGATCTACCACTTTGTGCCTGAGCTGTTGTTGCCCCCAAACACTTCCATTCACAATAGTAGCACTTACAGTTGACCTGGGCAGATCTAGCAGTTCAGAAATTTCACAGACTGACTTGTGGCAAAGGTGGCATCCTATGACAGTGCTACATTTAAAGTCACTGAGCTCTTCAGTATGACCCTTTCTACTGTCACTGTTTGTCTATGGGGATTGCATGGCTGTGTGGTTGATTTTATACACCTGTTGATTGTGAAATGATTATGGCTGAAACACCTGAACCCAATAATTAGGAGGGGTGTCCACATACTTTTGGCCATATAATGTACATAAGTGTATACATACTTCTAAGTTTAAGGGGTTAAAAGAGATTTCTGTGCCTACTATCTGTTCCATGTGTTACAGGTGAGGTGTCAGAAGTGTGATGAGAAGATGCAACGATGCAAGCTTCCAGACCATGAGGTGAATACCTGATCTACTCACTAAAAGAGTAGACACATTTCAGAAAAGTAGCTCTTTTCACGGTGGGCAGAAACATAGCATGATACCTGAAGACATTTTCATAATACATCACACGTATCATGAGATTATCAAAGATGTTTTTGTGAGGTTTGTAAACACGTTGGGATGGACAGACTGCGCCAGTAAAACAGCAATGCCACATTTAAAAAAGGCTGTGAAAAACTTTACCAGTACACTGTTGTTGTTTACATGCTCTCTATAATTGGTCTAAAATGTTTTATCTATGTGATTTGCAGTTGTTCAGTGTCCTAAAAGTTCTGGCAGTCACAATATCACAATAACAATAACATACATGCCCATTCTCAGCTTTGACTGTCTGTCTCTCTCAGAAAGATGAATGCAGTGAGAGGCCTCAGAGCTGTGAGTTCTGTAACCTGGAGCTTCCTCTGAGTGCTCTGAATGAGCACACTGAGACCTGTGGGAGTCGGACAGAGCGTTGCCCGGACTGTAAGCAGTACGTCATGCTGAAAGACCGGACACGCCATGACCAGATCTGCTCCTCTGCACTATCTAAGGATGACGGCTCTAACAGTCAGTTTATCTTGACCTTTACACTGTACTCATTTGTGTGGTGTGTATTTAGTGTGAGGCCATATTTATTTCTCTTTATCACTGATCTTTTTGACATTTCATGTAAAAATAGGAAAATGGATATTCATTATGCAGTTCTAGAAAGGTCTACAGTGCCTCTTTTACAAAACTGGCTTCATGTTTTTTTAATGCCATTTGAATGGTTCCTGCAACATCTGCTAAAAGGCATTTTCTCCACTGTGCGAAAATGTCTTTGCTGTGAGTCTCAAACTTTTCTACTTGCTGCTTTTCACAAATGCTCTGATATTAGGAGGTCATATAACACCAGTCAAAAGTTTTGATACACTTACACATGGGAGGGTTTGTCTCATTTTTAGCCTACTATTTTACTAATTTCAGAATAAAAGTGAAGACAGCAAAACTAAATAAAACATGGAATTATGTAGTGACCATAAAAAAACAGAATTCTTACATTTTAATTCTTACATCTTAAAAGTAGCCTGTTTTTGCCTTCATGTAAACTTTACACAGTCTTGGCATTCTCTCAAGCATCTTCAAGAGGAAGCACTTAGAATGCTTTTCCAACAGACTTGAAAAAGTTGAGACCTTGTTGGCTGATGAAAACTACTTTTGGGGGGCATTCAAGATTATAATAATTTTTTTTTCGTTTGGCAATACATAAGCATTACCTGCATTTTTATAATTTATTTATGGTCCCCAGAGAAGTCACTGACGTTATATTCCTCTTCAAAGACACACTAATGTTTACACAAGCAACCACCCAAACTCACCTTAACTGCACTTCAGATTTCTTTCTCATGTGAATTAAATGATAAATTAGATATTAGATATAAAAATAATCCACTTGCATGAGGAAAGGGAAAGTCAACAGCAGTTCCCGAAACTAAAGTTAAAAATGTATTAAACGTTATAGGAAAAAATGTAACTCCTAAAAACATACAAGATGTGGTAGATCACCAAAACTGTCCCCATCAGATAAATAGTTAAAGCTTCAGATCTGAAAAATCCACAGGTGTTTCTGTCCATCCTTCCACTGTGAGAAGACAACTCAACACTATGAGTCTGAAAGGACGTGTAGCTGTTAAAGAAGCCATTACTGAGAAAAGGAAACAGACAAAAAAAAAAAAACTTGCACTAGACCACTAAGGACTGGACATTTGAGATGTGGTGAGAAGTAGAAAATGCAACCAACTTCTAAGACTGAACTTTGAAGACACGGAGAAATATCCCTGCAGATTATTTTGAAAAAATGAAAGCAAGTGTCTCAGAAAGAATGGAAGCTGTAAAAAAGAGTGGGCACATTAAATAGTGAAAACAAAAAATATTTAATATTGGTTATTGAGGTATCTGGGCAATTTTCTGTTAAACATGTTTTCTGCTAGACACTGAAAAATGAGTAACTTGTAATTAAAGGCTTCCAGATTTTACTGGAAATTGAATAAATGGAAGGTGGTCTGTGACTTTGTACAGTACTGTCTGTACATTTTTTTGCTGTACACTTTTTTGCATTTTTGAACAATACCTAGAACTAGTCAAGACGATTGAGATTATGAAGATCAAATTGACAAATCACCCAGGCTTATTAAGAGTCTAGGGCACTCAAGGATGATGTAAGTGTCCAATATCATTGTGAAATTACACCACTGCTTATCAGCTAATGGCCATTTTGTAGTCTTAATCATAACCTGTCTGCCTCAGCTAATGACCTGCTTATTGTAATAATGGGCATTATGATGGTGCTTCCTTGTAACAGATGATGACTCCATTTATGAAGATAGGAGTGTGCCAGCAGATAATCTGCAAGACGATCAGAAGGTGCAGCTCAGAATATTTTTTAGACATCAGCGTATATTTTCCTCATCGATCATTGTGTAAAATCACCTTTTTTTGCTTTCACAACACAGTTTGGTGGCTATTTATCATACAATCAGAGTGGTCTGTATGTTGACCTGAGTCAAGCCGGTGTGTCTGAAGAGCCTGAAGAACCTCCAGACCTGAATTTCTCATTCCTAACCCAGCAAAAGAAGGACAGTGGGGCTGCTGGATTTGGAGATTGGGATCAGATTAGTACCTGTCCACACTGTCACCTGGCACTTCCACTTCGGACACTGGAATGGCACGAGGTACAGAGCAACTACACGGTACTGATGTGCTGTCGCATGCAAAAGTTTGGGCACCCTTGGTCAAATTATGATGAAGTGAAAATAAGTTAACACAACCTTTTTTTAATAAACAATGACTGTTTATTCGCTAAACACACATGTAGCCTGTGCAAAAGTTACACCACATTTTATATTTTTCAACTTTATTCTTTTTTCAAAATGTTAAACTCTGCAAATAAATAGAAATTGTGGACTAAATCTTATAGAAAAATGAGGATGTTTAATTTATTTTTGCTTAGAAAACCAACAAAACATAATTTGACTGGGGATCTTCAAACTTCTGCATACGACTGTATATATTAGACATGTCAACCACTCTAATATTTTTACTACAGTGCATGTCTGATGATGTTTTTTCTTCTTTTAAGAAAAAATGTAAGATTTTTGAAATTCTGAAGCTGATCACCTGAAAATGAACTGAAATAATCGCCAGTGAAAATGAACACGTAAGTCACTGTATCGTATCATTTTGTCTAATAATTGCTAGATATTGTTAAATTTACCCTCCAAAGAGGATAATAATGTCATTATTTCTTCACAGGATGTCTCTCCAAAAGCACAGGACAGCAACCTGACAACTCATAATGGAGCTGGTTTTGGTGAATGAAGTAGTTATAATGCACTCTACTTCAATATCTGTAAAACCTAACAAATATATAGTATAGAGAGATGAAACAGGCACTTTTTTAAAATTTGACATAACAGAATTTTAGATGATTATTGTGAATTATTGAGAGCTGCTTTCTACACTTTAAAAATATCAAGATGAATGGACATTGATGGTGAACATATGTGCCTTCTTATGCAAAATGGCTATTTTGTAGATACATGTTTTTTTACTACACAGTGTTTATATAGAAAATTAAATGGGGCCTCAAATGTTTAATAGCCTAGGGCCACTAAAGTCATAAACTTTTATTCAAAGTTGTTCTGGACCATTTCTGTTCATCCATTTGTCTTGAAATTTTGACACAATGTAAGAGAAAGCTGTCATTTTCAAATAAAAAAATGAATCTGTCACTGCAGAACCCCACCCCGCAAAAAATACTCCCTGAACCAGTCCAACAGTAAATACACTATTAAGAAGCCGATGTGGATTGAATGATCTGTTCTGTAATGTTCTCAATCATGTTTGGTCGCACATGCAATAAATGAAGAAACAATGCACGTATACCCACCCAGTCGAGCAACCAGGCTACTGTCGCTGTCAGAACAACACCTTGCGTTTCCATTTTCTATTTTTACGTTTTTTTATTTGAAAATGACAGCTGTCTCTTACATTGTGTCAACATTTCATGACAAATGGATAAACAGAAATGGTCCAGAACGACTTAGAATAAAAGTTTATGACTTTAACTTATGTTCTTACTGAAAGGAACATTTTGTCTTCTTCTGTTGCTTTTTTTGGAGATGCAAGGTTTTTTTTTTTGTTAGAGTACATGAGGAGCAAGAGGACTTGCTTGAGAAAGATTTCAGAGGTCATTAATGCAGAATTTGATATTGATATTATTTTAAATTGTTTTTTTTTTTAACTATAGATTGATTAGACATTGATAATGTTCTCATCTTTTTTAACTGCTGCCACAGTTTTACAAAACAGCACTTCTGCTTTTTTTCTTGCAGTGCACAGCTTTGATTTTGGTTTTCTTTGCTGCAGCATTTCACCCAAACAGGCAAATTATCTGCAGGATTTGATTACAGTAAGATTTAAACAAAGTCATTCACGACTGAGAAAGAATTGTCTACAGTGGGGTTGATAGTCACCAAGCATCTGAAGTGCCTAATGCCTCTGAAAGCTCCGTCATAGAGAGCTATTACAGTAAATGTGGTTACAAATTTGATACCAGATGCCTGAGACATTTTATATGATAGTTGAAGAAGGTTTGGCCTGAAACATATTTCTTCCTAATAAATTGGCAGAGAGGTCCATGCAAAGTGTTGTAAGGCAAAACAGCCCCCAGAGAAAACATATTACTTCAGATTTACTACGATTTTACCATCATCATTACATATAAAAATCAGATAACATGTAGAGTCCCTGATCATTTTGAATAGTAAATAAAATGACTATATTTGTGTTGCAGACATTGTGACCCCTGGTTCCTATCACCACCACTGTAAAGAAATCTGATTGATAGTTTTCTCTATGAACCGTTTCACATCAAACTGCTCTGAATGACTTTGTTTGCATCTTAATTTATTTACAAAGACTTTTTAAAACATCTGTGGAATTCCCCTTTAACATGTCAAATCTGATTGGCCTTTAGCTAGGACACGAGTAAAATAATGCAGTGGTAAGGAGAGACCAGCAAGACGATCACTGCCTCAGTGTCTTCATGAAAAGTACTGTGACACGTTTTGTGGGGCATAGCACATTTTATTTATCTGGCTCATTGTTTTCTCACTCTATGATACTTTCAAAGTACTCCATGTTTAAAGTTCTTTAATAAATTTAAGCAGAGAATGAGTCTGTGTGTGTGCGCTTCATTCACTCAGTTAACAGTTACATGCAATAACGTTTTTTCACAATGACTGCATCATTCTGCTGAGCAGTAGTTGCTAAATAGAAACTCCATTTACATTGCAGCTAACACAGTTACTAAGTTTCTCCGTTGGTATATAAAAAACAAAGTGGAAACATTAGATCATTCCTATAAGACAATATTTGACACACAGCCCTTTTGGTCAGAATGTAACAGCAAGCCTACATCAAATCTGAATCTGTGGTTGTCCATAAAAAAAAAAAAGGTTTCATTCAGCTGCAACTAAACAAAGTGGAATTAGCCTAGAGACTACAGATCAGCACACAAGATGGGCTGTGAAATGCTTTACAGACTGGCTGGAACAATACGACAATCAGGCAACTATTGAAAAAAGCTGAGCTGAACCTGATATTGCAACAGCCTTATGGCTCTATCTGTAACACAAACATATACTACTTTTTGTGGTGGAAGTAATTAACATTTTAAGGCACAGTTGATACAATGTTCAGGGCTTCTTTGCTGTATTTTTTCTGTAATCTGGAGAACTGGTATATAAGACCAATAGAACACTAATAAACCACTCAGTCCAGTTCTACTATGAGTGTCTACTAATAAACGTCAAGCCAAAGTCAGTAAGACTAAATAATAACTATGGTGTGAAAACATTCAGTGGCATTTATGGACACCAATGCTCATGGCTTCCTAAACATTTTCATCAAGGCATTATTTCAGACTGTAAGAAAAAGCACAATATAATTGCCTGATTATACCACATTCATCCCAAATATACCCCAAAAAAATCCAAAAACAAGTCTTAGTAGTAAACTACATATACATTATTAGCAAAGTACAAGACTTCTATAGAGGTCTTGCATCCACCAATACTCTTGTAAATGGAGTACGCTGAAGAGGAGTGATTGGCTCTTAGATGAGGAGAACATATTTGAGGAAGGTAAAGTGACTGAGCACAAAGAAACTGAACAACCTTAATCTGAGTGGACTTTCCTGCCAGACGTATATCTGCATCAAGTCTTCAGGTGGCTCCGTGTCTGGGATAGGGTCCATGTATAGCTTGTCTGTCAAAACTGGCATCAGTCATTTGTTTTCCATCACTATGGCGTCAGCACTTTAAACTTCTCTGGCCGCACCTCACTGTACCGGTGCTATGACGCAGACAAAGCTGTGGACAATATGAGGGCCTATGGGAGCCACATGGAGGTATGCTTCAGCCATCCCCTCAACTCCTCGGTCTCCAGACGCTTCCAGAAGCCCTTGCAGACATTCCTTGCTGTTCTGCGCAAGGCATGTGCTCCCTGACTACCCTCCACATGGAGCTGGAACGTTTGACCTGGTGCCACAGTGTCCAGAACGCTCTCGTCCAGAGCCTCACCTTCTACCTGTGACCTGAAGGATCGCGTCTCTCTTCTACCCTGAGCCTGAGGAGGGCTCGCTTCATTATGTTCCAGGGCCTACAGGTGCTGGAGGCCATGGCAGCTACCCAGCAGCACACCTGCTTGGGCCGCTGGCCAGGCCTAATGACCTTGAACCTAGAGGACTTTTCCACTCATCCATTTGCTGCACAAGTTTCAATACCTCTCCAGCCTTTACACTTAACTACACAAAGCCTTGGCTTCATCTTCTGTTGGTCCAAATGGGCAGGGTCACTCCACTCCTTAACAGTTCAGTGCCACGTCCAGGAGACCCCTGATCACTTGGGCATGGGGTCTCCTGGACCCTCCTGGCAGAGAAATGCCCTACTTTGAAGGTGCAGATATCTGTGGAGCAGACTGTTGGTGCTAACAGTTGCATCTTACTCTAAAAGATCTCTCTGCATGCTCTCAATCTGACTGGCTGCTATTTCAGTGAATTCAACTTGACTATCAAGCACTTACTCATCTGGTCCCCTGGAACAGGTGAGTGGAAAAGGAGCATCTGTCCCACATATAGTTCAACGACATACAAATTAAATAAGGCAAGGATTCTAGTTTCTTTATTGGTCCCAGGTCATCCAGCAAGAACCTGACAATTTAGTAATATGTGAATATGGAGCAGCTTTATCTCCTCTACATCTAGAAACAGACTCTGGACATAAATAACATTAACGACACTATGGATGAGGAACTGCTCAAGGTCATCACATTATGCAGCAAGTTCACTTACCTGAAGGTATAGGCCTTCCTGGACATCAGTCAAAGTTTGCTAGATTTAGACTGAACTGAAGCTAATTTGGTCATGCAAAAGTTTGAACACCCCCAATCAAATGACTTGTGCTGTCTAAGTGAAAGTAAGTTGACGCATTCTCTACAGGGAGCAAACATAAATATGGAATTTTCAGAATTGCACAACTTAAAGGAAAATATAAAACATAGAATACAAAATGCGCCATAACTTTTTCACAGGCCACATTTTACAATAGGTTAAATTTGTAAAGTCTTTCATTCTGGTTCTTTGGTGCCGACCTATTTCATCTTACATTGAAAGGATGATTGTGTTATATGTTCTGTGTGTTCTGTGTGTGTTTTATGTAAGCTATTCCCGAGGACATTCTGAGAGGACATTTTAAGAGGTCATTTTGTTCAGTTATTTTGGCCTATACCTCTATGGTTACTTCTGTCACACCTGTTGCTTTCTAATGTTGGGAATGGTCCAGGTAACAGAGTGCCTGAGCCAGCCTATATAAACAGGGCCCACCCATTGTTCAGCGGGTCAGCTTGTCATCTGTGAAACGTGAGCAAATAAAGTCTATCCTCCAGACACAAGACTGCACTCCCTGATTTGATTTTTCAATTCATCAAAAGAGGGATTCATATTATTCAGGTTAAGTCGGTAAAAATCTACCATTTTTTCTTTCAGGGGAAAACAAAAACAAAAGTGCCATTTTTGGAGCATCCCCAATACTGTTACCTATAAAAATGCACAAAAGCTGCACAAAAGACTAAATTCAGTCTTCAACAGTCTTATACTTTAGTTTATTTCTTTAGATAACAGCATGCCGTACAGGGTCAGAGGTTATTTAAGCAGTCAACTAACATTGTGTAAATTAAATTTTTCACCATTCTATTAATTTGTCTCAGAGAAGCAGTATGAATTTTTTTAACTGCATTTTGGGCAAAGGTGCAGATTAGACCTAGATTAAGACTGCATATAGCCTTGAAAGAGTGTAATTTAGTCCATGGTAGGTCAGAAGGAGTCTGATGATTGGATCTCCACACACACATATGTAGCAAGTTTTCTTTGTCTATTTGAATAGAGACCTGAAAATATCAGTGTTGCTATGCTACAGGCGCGGCTCTGCCCCAACAAATATGAGACCCATGAGGAGGATGAGATGCTAGAGGAGCTGTTCTCACGCTACAGGTAGTTTATTGACTCAGGGCTCGACTACTCTGCCATGAATGATCCTATGCTCTAATATCAGCACACCATATGCAACATATTGAGTCTGAGGAATCCTGGTGTGCAACTGATCATCACTTTACAGTGTTGCACAGCCGAATTGTTATTACACAGCATGAAGTTTCTTTCCTCTCTTTGTCAAGGTTTCCCAACCATCATAACAGCATAAAATTCACTACAGACATGGCCTGTTGTATAAAAATGACAAAACAAAGAGCATACCAGACCTCTGCGTCATTCTTGCATGATATATTTCCAATTTTTTTTCCAGTAAGTGTGCACAAATGAGTAAACACTATTGATGATAGAGCAACATTAGCTGACATCTAAGGATTTGTCAGAAGTTGTGAATTGTGATTGGCTGAAGGAGCTGGGAACAAATCACTTCATCTATGTAGAGTGAGTGGGATTTGACCTGGATCTCCTCCTCCAGAGCCAGCTGATTTCGGGTCAGGGCTTTGAGCTCCGTCTCTGACTGGGCTAGGCCTTCCTTTAACCTGAAAAATAAAGATTGAAAAGAAAAGTGAGTGTCAGGTTATCATTAACTTGAAAGAAAGATCACAGTACCATTTCTAACAACATACAACACTGCTAAATTTGTGAAAATGTAAATAAAGCTTAATCAGTAGCAAATGTTTTCCATAGAAGTCAGTTTCCCAAAATTTGGTCTTTGAGGTGGTGCATCTAGCATGCATCCTATTAATTTCCCAGCAATGTCACAACTGGCCATGCTGTCTCTCTAGCAAAGCAATGCTAGTTAGTCAAGGGCACACGTAAGCTCACATATACGGAGCTCCAAGTGTGTTCAGCTATCAACAATGACCATGAGAAGCAGCATTAAGCTGTGTAACAGTGTTGAATGAATAGGTGATTTCTTAAAATCAGTAATACTTTATTTGGATGGTCTACGGTAGACGCTCTGCAGATGATCACATTATCTTTAACTGACATTCAACTAAATATACATTCAACTAAACTAAGCTAGCCCTAAACCTCACACTCACACAAACAAAGGATGCACAATCCGAATCGGAATCGGACGCTTTTTGATCAAAACACAAACAGCAATCATACAATTCACTGTTTTTATTTTGTCAGATCTGAGTTGCAATTTTATGATGTAAATATCATGGTAAGGTAAGTTCAGGTAAGTGCACTAGTGCTGTATTTGAATGTTCCTGCTATACCTGTAGCATAATTATACATGACTCATTATGCTAAATAGTCAGTTGCCCTTTACGTTTGATGTACTTTATTTAATTCATGTTATTTAAATAGGCAACTGATTTAAAATGGAAAAGTTTTAAATGCCAGTTTGCCCCATTAAAGTGAAAATTGTGTTATTTGTAAATTGCAAGTTTGGCTAATAAAAAGTTCTGCTAGGGTGCTTCATGTGTACATTTAACCCTCACAGTGTGAGTTTCAGATTAAAATGGCTAATAAGTTGGGCAATTTGGCTGTAAATAAATTCATGTTCAGTGCATCTCTAACTCTAAAGCTGTCCTTAACCCTAACAAGCCTAAACCAAAGCCTAATTTTAACTCTGACTCTAACACGGTTGATAATGAACTGTTTGAAAAGATAGTATTTGTAGGAAACAATCTGAGTATTTGTAAGAAACGTATAAGGAGTAATTAAGATACAATGTGACCAATGAATCATAAACTGTAGCAAAAAACATAGAGAGATACGTGCTCGTCAAGCTCAAATCAGGCTTTGGTTATACCCGGCAATTCAGAAAAAGCTTTCAGTGGCTACTGCATGACCACATGAAACCTGCTCAGCTGTGCCCTATTTACCTTATGATGTGGCCTGTGAGCTCCTGCACTTCAGACAGCAAGCGAGTGTGCACGGGGTCATGGCAGAGTTCAACGCCAGGTCGCTGGCTGCGCGCATACAGCCGCGTCTGGGCCACTTTCAGCGGCTCCTCTTTATCAGCAATGGCCACTTTCAGAGCCTCCACGTTCTGTTCCTGATTCGCTATCTCCACCAGCAACTTTAAAGGACAGAAGAAGCAGGGAAAGATACTGTTAACTCAGTGTTCAACTGAATATGCAGTCAAAAGGAACAGTTTGAACACCCCTGGTCAAATTACATGTTTATTTGAATTTCTAAGTGAAAATAAGTTAGCACATCCTCTACAGGGAATTTAAGTATGACATTTTTTGCATTTGTGGTTTCTTTTACCACACAAACATATTTATTTGCTTAGTGTGCAAATTATTTTGCTGGGGCTGCAAAACATCGGTTTGTGACTATAATATTGCCATTACATAATTACGGGCAGAATGGTCACAAAAACTGAAGATAAAAAAATTTAACTGGAGTGAAAGTTCAGTCAATAATCAAATATGGTGCATTCCAATTGCCCTAATAATTTCCTCCAGAGTGGACTGCACAGGGTATTCAGACATTTATAGCTGACTCCAAACCATAGAGAGTGAAAATGTTCCATTGGAAGAAACTTCAAACTGAGAAGTGAACAATGGTTAATCAGGTTGCAGGACGTTGCAGGAAAGTTTACCTGTCAGTCATTGCACGTCTCTGAGATGCTCTGCAGGACATTACAAATTAGGATATTTATCAACTGCAGTTCCATTAACTGACGTCTCATGCTGAAGTGTGTAGGGAGTGTAACAGCTGCTTAGAGACCCTGTGGAATGTAATGCAGCTATAGTCCAAAAATGTTCCCCTTAAAAAGGCAAGCCATGCTTAGTGTACGAAGTTTGCTTTTTTAGTTTTGCACTGGAACTATGAGGCTAATATAGCAAATAAGTAATAGAAGCTTATATCCCACCAATTAGCATTGTGCAAAACAAGCCTTAATAATAAAACACACACTTCAAATCTGTGGTGCCTTATATTCCACACCATACTGTTATCTATAAAAATAGACAAAAGCACAGATAACTACTTGTTTTACATTAGCGTCTTACCTAGAATGTAAAACTTAAGAAAAACGCTGGACACTGTCTAGACGCTGGCTAGTCGTATACATTTGGAGTGAGGGTGCTTTGAAAGGGGGCAAAGAAGACTCAGAAAATGCATCATGTCAGCAGGCCTATGTGCACCTTGTCGAGTTGGTCTTCCAGTTGGGCTTTGGCAGTCCTCGTCTCCTGTATGCGCAGCTCCAGTGCAGTGCCTGTTGCATCGTGCTGCTGCCGCATGTCCGCAGCTGTCTGTTCCAGCAGACTCTCCACTAGTGCTCTCAGAGAGACGGAGTTGTTCCTCTCCTTCTCTGCCTTGCTGATGTTTATGTTGGAGAAGCTCTCCCACTCCTCTGGGGTCACTGCGGCCCTACAGTTAGAGAGATCAGACCATATTCCACAAAGCTATCTTAAACATTACTGCTGTATGGTACAGTGAAAGACTGCAGTGAAATGGACTGTAGAACATATTTTTGATTGGAGGGGCTGAATCAGTTCATTTTTATTGCAGTAGGTAGGTAAGCGCAATAGGTCTTCAAGTTATTTTGAGCATCTATTTTTAATGCAACAGAATGGGTAGGGTAATAAATGCATACTATGAATACAGCTATTATAGCCTAGCCTACACAGCCTAGCCTATACAGCAATAGGCTAGGCTATAATTATTCAGTCCACGCAAAAAAGTAAATAGATAAATAAAAAATAGGCCACAGTCTGTTTCATGGTCAACAGACTCAATCACCCTGCTGCTCCATTCATTGGTACATGAGTGACATCTGCTGGATGAGGAAGCTGCTGAATTTAAATACAGTCACAGAGTTCATGGTTTTAAAGATTTGTCACTACAGGGCAAGCTTTCTGAGCAGATTCAAATTCTCCATCTGTTCATCTTTACCCTCCTGCAGTGAACTGTGCCGCTCCAATCTGCTCCTCAACATTGGCTGAAGTGCTGGTGAGCATGGAGCAGAAGTCATCAATGCTCTCTGCCTGAAATTTATCTCGCAGATCTTTTTCCAAGTAATATTTGGCTGAGCGGTTCAGTCTGAAACAGATAAAATGACAGTAATGAGAGAAATTAAAATGATTTGCAATATTACGTAAAAGATAATAATAACCAGCAAAACACAACAATAACGCAATTAATATATAATACCATGCAAAGGAATCAGAGATTTCAATAATATAAAGCCAATTTTAGGTGCAGAAAAATGTATGAATTATTCTTTGATGCTAGTGCTCTACAACTTCATAGGCTTAACATTTGTGGAAAGCTGTACAGAATTATAAAATTTCATACAGTACTATGTCGATGTCAGAGACCACCCTTTTAATTTCCAGTCAAAATAGCTAGTATTTAAAGCTTTCATCTTTAAAACATAGGAGGAATCAAGCTTCACTTTTGTTTCTGAACTGAAAAATTCACAGGTGTTTCTGTCCATCCTTCCACTGTGAGAAGACAACTCAACACTATGAGTCTGAAAGGATGTGTAGCCCTTACTGAGAAAAAAAAATAGATAGAAAAATATTTGCAAATCACACAATGAAGCTGCTGGTGTTCTCAGAACAATGGACTGATCACCCCAGAGTCCAGACCTCAACATCACTGACTGTGTTTGGGATTATTTGGAGAAGCAAAAAATGCAACCAGCTTCTAAAATAGTATGAAAAAATGATGTGAAAAAAACAAAGGATGAACACAATTTTATATTTACAAGCCCAATTCCAAAAAGGTTAGAATAGTAGATAAAATGTAAATAAAAACAGAAAGCAGCAGTTTTTACAGTTATTTAATTAAAAACAGCACAAAAAAAAGAGATATTTAATATTTTACCTCATCAGTTTTATTTATTTTAGTAAATATGCTAATTTCAAAAACGGCATTGCATTAAAAACCGACATGCTTCTGTAATGATTATAACCATGTAGGTTTGGGAATACTTTGGAAAACCCTTGTTAGTAAATACAGTTCATCAATACATCTACAAATGCAAGTTAAGACTCTACTAGTACTCAATGCAGAAGCCATATATCAACAACATCCAGAAATGCCACCAACTTCTCTGAGATAAGGCTCATCTAAGATGGACTGACGCAAAATAGAGATGTGTGGTCTGACTGTTTTTGGAAAAAATGGACGTTGTGTTCTCCAGGCTAAAAAAAGGAAAAGGACCGTCCTGATAGTTACTAACACAAAGGCCACCATATGTCATGGCATGGGGGTGTTTTAGTGGGTAACTTATACATTTGTGAGGGCATCATTAATGCTGAGGGGTACACACGCATTTTAGAGCAACATATGTTACCACCTAGACAACGTCTTTTTCAGGGACACGCTGCTTGTTTCAGCAAGACAATGCCAAGCCAACAGATCAAAAAGAATAAGCAAATTATTGCTGTCTGTTTTTATTTACATTTTTCCTAACATTGGGTTTGTAGTTCTTGCTGGCTGACAGGAAATTAAATTCATTAAGGGTGGTCTCTGACTTTTGCACAGTACTGTATGTACCAAGTATGATCACCAGAGCTGTAGATGATTCCATAATAATCAAGAAAGCCCGGTATTTGAAAAGTGATGATCAAATCTTAAGGAGGAAATTACAGTCCAAATTCTATAAATAGAAAATGACAGCAAATCATTTATCATTTAATAATTTGCTGCTGTTCCCAAAACATTTTAAAACGTTTTAAAAACATTTTAAAATGCTTTCTGGTGTCTAGTTTATTTTCAGTCTACACTGTATTGAATAAAATAATAACAATCATTATATAATTACAGTAACAGTTAATATGTAACGTAGGCTTTACAATGTTACAACAGCTCCATTACAACAGCTTGTTTAAAGTATTGTGTAGCCATTGCATATATGCTGACTACTTTGGCTCACCTAATCTGCTCAATTATCTGCTCCAGAGTGCGCTGGAGGAGGGTCATCACTCCCTCTATCACGTCCTTCTCCTTCAGCAGCTCCCTCTCCACCTCATCACTCACCAGGTCTATCGCCACCCGCTTCTGTCTGAGCCCAAAATGAGAAGATTAGAGGAAAACTTACAAGTCTGATGAGGCAGGAGAGGTCAAAGACGATTTCAGCTGAAAAGTGGATTTAAAATGATGGCACATAGATTATATATGGTCTACTTTTTGGTCTACTGTCAATGCAAAGCATTTGTCTCTCACCTCTCATCCAGACAGTCTAGAGTGGCTTTAAGAGGCTCTGAGCAGCTCTCCAGCGCTCTCTCGACTCTGTTCTTAAAGGTGTTGAGCACCTCAATCTCCTGAACCACCTCCTGCAGTTTCTGGTCCAGCTCTTGCCTCCAGAACTTAATGTCTTTGATTCTATGCTCTGTGGAAAAGAATCACAGAACACACTCAGAACTACACTTGTTGACCCTTTTATCAGATCAGACCTTTCATATACTGTAGGTGCACTTTGTAGGTTTACAGTTACTGACTGTAGCCCCCCTTTACCCCATCCATCAGTGGACATGCACCACTGCTGACCAGACATTATGTTGGTGGTGGACCATCTCAGTATGGCAGTGACAAACATAAACAGGGTACTGTTTGATGAGGTATGAGTGTATCAGGCATAGCATTGCTGGGATTTTTATACATCTCTGTCACTGCTGGGTCAAAAATATTCCACCAGCTGAAAATATCCAGCAAACAGTATCATGTGGTCAGCAATGGAGGGTTAGATGAAGGATTAGAGCAGTGCTTCACCCTAACTTCCTGTGGTCTGTCTGGGGGACCCTGGGAACCACTGGGCTAGAGGATGACAAACACTCACTGTGCATCAACAGATAAGATAATTTTACATCAGGGTGGACCAACAATGTAAGAGTGTTTGACAAAGTGGCCAGTAAGTGTTTAAAAATCTGAAGGGCCCTTTGGTGGTCCCATCCATTGAAGGATAGTGTAGAGGGGGGCTGATAAATTGTGCAGCAATAGATGGGTTGCATTATGTAACCTACAAAATGCACTTACATTACGTCATTAGTCAATTGTTTCCTTTTACCGCACCTCCGTTATGCCACCAAAACAGTTTAAGTTTACTCAAATAAATAAATAAATAAATACATACATACATAAATAGTGATAGTAAAAATAAATAATGATAGTAAATATAAAATGTGCCAAAATTTTTGCCCCGGCCACATTTTATGTTTTTTTTTTTATCCCAATATGTTAACTTCAGCAAATAAACAGTGTGTGTGCCTTAAAGTGTGCAGCAGTGTGTTCTCTGCAGAGCATGCTTTAATTTATTTTCTCCTAGAAAAACAACAAAACATGTAATCTGACCAGCGTGCCCAAACTTTTGCATACGACTGTACATTCAGTCAGGTCTAAACTGTCTAAAACTTTTGACTTGTAATGTAGATGGTAGGTGTTTCTGATAAAATGGCCATTAAGTGTAGGTACAAGGTAGGTGTACTGTCAAGCATAATCACAAATATAACATCAGGTCCATAAGTATTTGGACAGTGACACACTTTTTGTAATTTTACCTCTGTACACCACTGCAATGGATTTGAAATGAATGTTTTTAGCATCCCGTATGCAGGGTTTTTTCCCTTATTGTCACTTTGTGTTTAACCTTTTCTTTATGGAAAGAAAGGTGGCAGGGAGGAAAAAGAAGAAACAAATTTTAATTGTACCCTGTACAACTTGCACCTGTGCTTCAGTAAAAAGAAGACTAAAGAAAAATAAATAAAAATAATCCTTGTAATTATAATTGTTAGTTTGTCCAATTACTTTTGAGCCTGTGAAAATGTAGGGACTATGTAAAAATTGCTGTAATTCCTGAACGGTTAATGCAACTTAGTTTTTCACATCTTGACTGCTGCATTTCAAATCCATTGTGGTGATGTATGGAAGCAAAATTACAAAATTGTGTCACTGTCCAAATACTTGTGGACCTGACTGTAGCTTTTCACTATCTATGAAACGACAGCACAACAGCACAGCAGCACAGCTGCCCCACTAAAACAAGTTTTGTTTGCTTTTGTAATCCACGCTGTAGTTACCCAGCCTCTTGTTGGCATCCTGCTGCATGCGTTTCGCAGACTTCTCACTCTCCTCTATCAGTCGCTTGCATTCTGCGGTGAGTCGCTCTGAGCGCACCCGCTCAGCTTCAGCACTCCTGAAACGCACACGGTTTGCATGCTTCCACTCAGAAGGCAGAAACGTATGAGCTGGTTCTATCGCTCGAGACATTGCACTGTGAAACAGGAGGTAAGATCAGGTGACAGTTAGAGTTACAGATGGACTTTAAAAAGCCCAGATGCAGATTTACAGAGTTAACACTTATATAACGAAGAGCACAATTCATGCATACATTTAGCAGTTAATCTCATGAGTATGGCCTAACAGAATGTGCCTGTGACAATGTTAAGTTTGTGAGCATTATTTTTCCTATTTTTGTACTATTTAGGAAAATAACTGACTGAATAATGCTTAAAAGTGAGACATATCTGGCAACCATACTCCTCCTACAGACTTGGTGCTGGGTAATACATCATCTGTACTATACCATTATATTAACATACTGTAATAAGGCTTTTCAGCTTTAGCAATATCTTGGTGATATATCTGACAGATAATGAGCAATATATCTGTATATATCTGCATACATCTGTAATATGATGACCATAGAATTCCTGTCATCAAGTGGTTTGTTTTTAGCATTTCAGTCCTTTTTCGTGCACTTTCCACATGGTGTCCAGGAGCTGACAGTTAACCGCAATGTGCTTCAGTTTTCAAAGAACACTTCACAATACATACAAATCAAATAAACAGTAAGTGTCTTTTGTGGACAGGTGCTTTCCATCTGATTAACGTTTACAGAATTAGCGCAAGGTTCCCTTTTGTCTAGCTGTTAGAGAAGAAACCAGAATAAAACAGTCCATTCAGAACAAGCTACATCAGGGGGCATTTCACAAAGCAGGATTTCAGAGTTAGCCACAGATGAGGACTGTCCAACAGGTCTGTGTGTCCCTCAGCTCTTCTCTCATTGGACAGGCTTGACTTTGAGCTTGGGTTACCGAGCTACCTGGCTAAACTGAGAAATCCTGCTTTGTGAAATACCCCCGTACTCGGGTTCGGAAATCCAGAGAGGCCATGAGCTATTGCTATAATTTTTTCCTGGATTGTTATCTTGAGATCACAAGCTAGTTAAGTCATGATCTCAAGATAACAATCCAGAAAATTATAGCAATAGCTCATGGCCTCTCTGGGTTATGGAGCCCTGCTAGTGACATCCTGTATAAATAAAAATAATGCGCGGCCACGACTTAGTAGGGCGTGGGAACGAGATAATTAAGTCATGGCCACGACTTAGTAAGGCATGAGGACAAGATTCTAATGTGTGGCCATGACATAGCATGGCGTGGGATTAAGCCTTGACCACAGCTTAATAAGACATGACATTTTTTGTTGTCATTTTGACTAAGAGACAAGAAGCCGAGGTGGGTGGGTAGGAGTAAAACCACTGTGGTGAAACTTACGGTGGTTGTTACTTCAGTGAAATAATGACTTAAGCAGAAGTTAAAGCATCTAAGCTAGTTACAAAAACATCTTGAGGTCAGATAACTTATGGGCAACTTCGCCAAAGACTGCCGAGAGAACAACTTAGTAGTCTGTCAGACGTTATTCTTCTCTTTCTGAGAGTAAAATGGGCCAAAATCCATCAAAACTGAACAGAAATATATGTGTAACCAACTTAGCTGCCATCGACCTCTGACCGAAGTAACTAAGTGAGCCAGCTTAGGTGGGTTAAGTTAGCTTAGTCTGCAGTAGTGCACTCTTAAAATCATGGTTTTTCAAGGGTTCCTTAGTAAAGAAAATGGTTCTATGTAGAACCATGAGCACTCAAAGAACCCTTTGCATGATTAAAAGGCTCACTGCATCATGAACGGGTTCTTCAGATTGATCAATGTGCAGTAGATGGTTCTATAGGGCACATTTTTGAAAAAGGTTCTACTATTGTTACGATGTCAAGCTTGTAACAACAGGAGAACCCTTGTGGTGCTATACAGAACCCTTTTCAAATAGGTTCTATCTAGAGCCATCTACAGCACATTCGTCTGGAGAAGCCTTTAATCGTTTTTCGGCTCTTTGAGTGTTTATGGTTCCATACAGAAACCTTTTTCTTTACTAAAGAACCCTAGAAAACCATATTTTTGAGTGTGTCGGCTCTATAATGAAGCTGATTCTGGTTTCTTGCTCGAATTTTTCCGTTCCACCTTAAATGGTGCAGCAGTTAACGCTACATTCTGGCGCTCGTTCGTTTTAGTACGGACACATTAAACATCATCACGATTATCAGGAACATAATTACGATTTTCAGCTCTTTAGTTTTACCTGTCAGAGTCTTACCTGTCAGATTTTATGGCTGTAGTTGAAGCGGAAACTTTGCGCTTTCAGAGATCAGCGGTTGAATGAGCTGCAGCCCGGCCACAGGACCTAAACAAACTGTTGCTATAGCAACATCACTGTCAACTCCAGGCTGTGGGCGGGGCTTCGACAAAATAATCATTTAAAATCATTTTAGGTCCATTAGTAATGAACTACACACTGTGGAAATATGAAATAGGTTATACCAAAATAATAATTTTATTTGAATTAAATTCCACAACGCTGCTATGCATATGAACATATTTAGAAAACGTTACTGGTTTAAACAGAGACTAATGATTTACATCTTTTGTACAACACAAGTATAAATACAGTAAATTGCCAATAAATCTGTGTGCCTTATATTTAAATAACATAACACAGTATACATAAATAAAACAGTATATCTGTTATTACCAGTAGTATATCTGGCTTGAGACAAGATTAAGACCACACCTCATACAGTTCAAGAATAACAGCGCGAAATAAAATAAATCAATGCTTCATTTCTCACCCGATTTCATGTACATGTGATGTTACTTACTTACACAAATTGTAAATTATTTCACACAAACTACACGTCAAAGAAATCAGTGCAAATTCGGACCTTTTTCTAATAATCCTTTTGTGCGCAGCACTTGTACTTCGTTGTAACAGATCTGATTTAAATGAAATAGAATGACAAAGTGACAATAATACTGATGAGAATGATTACAGTACATTAACACGATGGAGTTGAATGGAGGGAGAAAAAGATGTAAAACCTGTAAAAGTTAGATAAAACAAACACAAAGGTTTTCCGATATTACAGTGACTGTAAGGCTAAATGTAACAAATTCTTGACGCAAAGCAGAAGCTATTGTAGAAAAGGTCTGTAGGAACTTGATTACATTTCTTTGGCAGTTTTTTACTCTGCTTAGAGGATTTACAATTAAAACAATTATGGGCCATAGTGGACCAAATATCACTGTTAAAAGGTACAGTAGCAGAAATGACGCAAAAAAAAAAAAAACGGAGAACGAAACAAATCACAGAATCAGTAAAACACTCTAAGCAGTGTTCTGATAAAATTGCACTTGCTTGAATGCCTCCACATATCGATGCTATTTCTGAAGCAAGAAGTAGTTAAAGAGCATCCAACACTGAGCACTCTGAAAGTGCATGTTGGTAAAAAGGCAAACCACATGGTCTTAACTGGCCACTGCCTGGTCCAGTCCATTAATATTCTCAGGCAATACTCCTTCTTCAATGGCTGCTCTGGACTCATGAACCTGAAACAGACATAACAGATGTCCATATAAAATAACTGACATGTAATTAAACTGCATGCTAAGTTCTAGTATTAAAAGCATTCAAACTAATTTTTACATGCTGAGAATTCATTATTCATATAGATGACACAGAGAAATATGTGCATAGGAAGCATATAACTGTTAATGTACTCACTTTAAAAGGTTCACTAACTCCCACAATGCATTGCAAGTTACTACTGTAGTAGCAGAGCACACATTCTCCCCCTTTGACTGGAATCTCCTCCTTGCTTACATAAACCTGAAGTAGATGAAGGAAATAAAAATCATTAAAAAACTCTCAAGTATGTTTGTCTGCAAGGGGCAGACTGTTAATGGAAGCAGTGAGGAATGCTACCTGTACGACCTCATCATTGAAGGCCACTTGGTCATCCTTTACCCAGGTGTAGGTGATGTAGTCACTAATGCTTCTGAATCCAACCTGGGGAAAGAGATCTTCTGTCACTCCTCAGTACAGCAAGTCAGAAGAGACATAAGCAAGTCACTTTTCTTCCCCTTCTGTTTTACTGAGGTTGTCAAGTGCTGCTATAAAGTCTGACCTTATAAAGGCCAATCCAGTCCCAGGCACTGGAGGGGAAGGGCTGCAGTGGGCTATAAGACACCAAGGCGTCCATATCTGCACTCCAGTCACCTTCAGCACACAGACGCACCAGTGGAATGTCGTATACCTTCCTCAGCTAAACAGGGAAAGGACAGGGTTATACTGCTATTGCCCAGGTCGTTATAGAGTAAAAAGGCTTAATCATAACTAAAAACAGTAGCAGGAGCCATCCTGACTGAATTTTGTTCACTTTTATAAAATTCTAAATATAGGCATCTTCAAATGCAGTGACTACTATTAGTTTGAACTTGGGTGCATAGGTAAACAAACAACTGAACATGGCAAAAGTAAGCAAATGACTCACACACCTTGCACTTGAGCACCATGTCGGGCAAATACAGGAAAACATGATCTCAGCCTTGAAATTTTTCATTTTTGTGGCCTTTTTGGTTCTTTGTTTTGATGTGAGAGTCAATTGGTTACTTGTGCCATAGATATCTGCATGTTACACAGTGTCAAAAAACACTCAAACAAGTCTATTTAAGATCACTTGATATTTCTGCAAAGCAAAGTGGTTAAGATGTAAACCAAGTAATTCAGAGTCCAGACAGAACCGTTCACAGTGGTGCTGATAGAATGTTTAATGTCTCTAAAAGCTACCTCGCAGGACGTTATTACATGAAATTGTTAGGAATGCACTGCTTCATGTCTGAGACACTGTGTTATGATAGATTTGAGATGAAGCTTTTTTTTTAATCAATTCCTGCTGTAGGGGTACATGCAAGGTGTTAACAAGGCAAAATAGTCCCCAAAGAAAACTTAGATTTTTTAGGTTTACCAATATTTTACAAATCTCAACATTACATGTTAAAAACTCAGAAAACATATGTATGTTCACTGGTCACTTGCACTGTACACACTGCGACCCCTAGCTACTATCAATACCAGTGTAAAGAATTTTGAGATAATACGTTTCTCTACAACTAGCAATTTCACATCAAACCACTCTGACTGACTTTGTTTACATCTCAACAATTGTGCAGAAACTGAATTAAATTTTAACAACTTGATGCAGTTTGAGGCATGTGTGTAACGATTGCATGCAGTTTGCACAAAGCTATCTGGTGTACAAAAGCTTCCATCACTTATTAGCCACATTAGCTTTACAGGTTCAAAGCAAAACTAACGAAGCACAGTTCAGACACCAAGCATCTCGGATGATCGACTGCATTTAGAATGATTTGAAATATTGTGTACATTTGATTTTTTCACTGAACTACTTCTTTAACAAATGAAGAGAAACTAAGGATCACCTCCAGTCTGAAGATGCCAATGACAGGCTTATGGTCGCTGACGCCATACTCCATGTTGCTGGTGTAACTGTCCTGGACCACTTTCAGAGGGTATTTCTCCACCAGATCCTCTAGCAGCTCCTTCTTCTTCTCTTTGGCTGCATCATCATCATCCTCTTCGAAAATGTCCTCAGGTGGGGGTGGCCTGGACTTGACCCGCCACAGAATCCGATCACACCACGCAGGCCTCCGCTTTTTCACACTAAGCAGTGAAAAACGGAGTGGAAAAAAAAAGAGAATGTGTGCTGTGAATGACTTATTGTACTGTTTGGGGAACTAAAAAACTGAGTGCTCGAACACAGTTTTGCAAAAGTATAGTAAATTATTAAGAGATGTTCAGAAACTATTAAAGGTACTTAGAGTGATATTAAAGGAATACTCAAGCATTTTCAACTTTATTTCTATCTCCCACATCAGTAGCACACAGTCGATTACTATGGAAATAATTTTTGACAGCATTTGCTTATTGGCTACTACTATAAATGTCCTCTGCGTCAAGAGGTTTTCTGTTATTTTACAGAAAGTACGGGGAAATGGATTGAATTATTGTCTATGTTAATTAACTGCATGCTACATCCACATACATACATGCTACATACATACAAAGGAGATTAGGTTGAGACTAGAGTACTGGAGCATTCCTTTAAGATTAGCTTTCTGTTACAATGCTCTGGGGAAACCCACTCATTTGGGCAATTAGGCAATGGAGTATGTTGTTGCTGTTGGATTGGATGAGAGACATAAATGTGACTAAACATGTGACACACCACCACATATTGTGTATGCAGGGTTAATTATGTATAGACAAACAGGTGCACACAGAAGTAACGAGAGGTGAGAGGCGGACAGCAGGCCAGCCACTCCTTCTCTGACTGGTCAGTTAGAGTCAAGGGAGGTTCAATATTTGAAATAAAGCACCCAACCTAACGATTTCTTTTTAACTAGGTGAGCCTTTAGCATACAATACTGTGCAAAAGTCACAGACCACCCTTCATTTATTTAATTTCCCATCAAAACTGCCATTAAGTAAAAGATATTAATTTTTCAGTTGCAGAAAAAAACAGAAGAAAAAACATAGTGAACAGAAAATTACACAGAAGCCTCAAGAACTAAATATCATGCAAACAAATTGCCTTTTTTCTTTTGCCTTTATTACACCCAAGTAATCCCAAACACATTCAATGATGTACACATTTGGATTCTGGGCTAGTCAGTCCATTGTTCTGAGAGCACCAGCAGCTTCTTTGTTTAATTTGTATTTTTTTTCTTTTTTCCACAATTTGACTTCTGAACAGCCACCCATCCTTTCAGACTCACAGCACTGAGTTGTCTTCTCACAGTGGAAAGACGAACAGAAATATCTGTTGACTTTTTTCAGATCTGAAGCAAGAGTGGACCTTAATTTTCCCCCCTCTCTTAAAGATGAAAGCAGTGCTGTTAATCTGATGGTTTTGTGGTCTACCACGTCTTGCATGGTTGTTAGGAGTCCCATTTTCCCTGTATCTGTTATTTATAATTTTTTTTTTTTTTTTACCTCAAGTTTTGAAAACTCCCATTTTTCACTCATTTTCCCATTGTCTTGTACTTGTACTTAAATAAATTAAATAAATAAAAGGTGGTCTATGAATTTTGCAGAACACTGTATCTCACATGGAGCATATGTCTTATGAACAATAACGTACACCTCCTCAGGAAAAAACAGAGTCAACTGAATCAGACACATTCCATCATACTTACTATTTCTATAATCAGCTTATGTATAACCCACGTTATTACATCTATAATCATCTTATGTACAATCACCTTATTGAGGCATTAAGCCTCAACACACAACGGGACACGGCGATGTTACAGGAGGAAAAGGTTCACCCGGAGAAATGTGAAATAGGGTTGGCCTGTGTTAATGCGGCCAGTACGTGGTTAGAAAATAACTTCAGCTCTGGACAGGAACACTAATGTATTGTTTCCATAAACCAGAGTGAAAGTGGACTTTAGGGAAGAGTGATAGGGAAGCATAAGTGAGGGTTTGCCAGTGAGAGAGAAGATGGGGAAATTTAAAGCTTACTTAAGACCAAACCAAGCCTTCTGTACCCTGCAAGGGCAAGAAAGAACAAACATGACAACCTAGAAGGAAACAGAGCTGTGGGAGATTACAAGGGATTCTTTCAAATAAAGTGTTGGTAAAGCATCACCTTAACTGACCTGTCCATGCATTTAACGTGAATACTTATATTTAGAACATGTTATTCATTTCAAATGAACTTTTTTCTGTATACATGCAAAAGGCCACACGGTTAGGACACCATTCATCGTATGTAGCTTTCTTTCAAATGCCAGATGCAAGTTTTATTGTTGTATAACAAACGTAACATGGTAGCCAATTAGCCATCATTGTTTATAACCTGCATAGAATCGACTACTTATAACAACTCAGCCCAGCTCAGCAATCTGGTATTTAAATATAGAAACTGAGCATTATCAGAGACTCTAACATTTTAGGAGTCTGTTATAAATAAGTTACGTATTTTGATTAAAACCTGGCTGTGCACTACAATTTCTCATTAGGTTAAATGACAACAACATTAAGTACAAAACAAAGCATTTACAGACAAAGCATTAAGCTTTTCTTTTAACTACTATGTCCATAAAACCAGTCTGCAATGCTGAGTTAGTGTTTGTGTATTTGTTCGTAAAATTCAAGAAGTAAAACAAGTAAAGCTACCTACCTTGAGTCATAGTTATCAGAGTTCAAGTCAAATTTATAAGTGGGTTGAAAATCAAGAGGTCCTTCTTCAAACTGCTGCAGTTTAGGCACCTTCTCCTTCATCACAGTTAGCTGGGGAGTAAAAGAGTTAAAGGGCAAAGCTTGATCTAAAAACCCATTTAAAAATAGCAAAACAACATGTATATACTAAATATCACATGTGATCATTTATCCAATAACAGTATAACCCTTCTCAGCATGTACCTGGTCTTTGGACCACAGCGAGTTGAAATTCTTGCTTGTGATGCAGTTTCGAATGAAATGCATCCCATGGTCCTCAATACGGAAATTCAAATCTCCAAACCAGAAGAGCACCCTAAACAGCAGAAAGTCTACATTAGCAACACAACTGAACAGACAAAACTATCAAATCCAACATATAGAATGCTATGCATCATATTATGGTAATGGTCACTGACTTGTGGTCTAAAACGGAGGGAGCTTTTTTCCCCTGGAAGGTTTGGGAATCCAAGATGTACTCAAATTCATCCACTCTTTCTGACGCATATTTCATGTCTGCAACAAGGTGACAGTTGAGGAAACAGAGCATATGGCCATAGAAGGACAGACGGATGGTCACTCCCCCTTTATTACCCTGGGAAAAACAGAGTAGTATCAGAAGAATAGGCAGGCAGATTTATACACCTCTTACTATGAGCTTTAATTCAGGCATCAATAGAAGAGATCAAAATCACAATAAATAATAAATTAAAAGACATTACAGTTGAGTGCAAAAGTTTGCATCCCCCTTAGATTATCTGTAATTAATCCAAAATTTGGTCTCTATTAATCATTAATCTTTAAAATAACATTACATACTCATTTAAGGGTGTTTTTCTCTGAAAACTTTTCATAGCGTCCATGTTAGAACAGCTCAAAGTGACCATATTAGCAAGCTCAAAAGTTTGCATCCCCTTTGATAAAAATTCAAAGAATTTAACTTGAATATGTAGAATTAAGTGTCTGAGCTTTGAAAATCAGTGCCAGCTTGTTAAGTGGCATTAGATGTGTTAGATTAGGCTTGTAGTTTAAATTAGCAGGTAGGTAGGTCTTCAGGAGTAGTTTTAAGCAGTTTGCTGAGAGCAACAAAGATGGGATCAGTAAAAACAGATGTCTGAACACCTCAAAAGGAAATGACAAATGTTTAAAGGAGCTGGAGAGGGATGTAAAAAGTTTTCAAAGCATTTTGGCAAATCGGTAGCAACTGTGAAGACCATTATCCAGAAATGGAATAAAGGTGGACACATGAAGACTCTACCAAGAAGTGGAAGAGGAAGAAAAATAAGTGAACAAACTGCCAGGAAAGAGAGCTCGAGAACTCTGTAAGAATCCAAAACAAACAGCAGGGGACCTAAAAAAGTCTGTCTCCACATTGAAGTGCAGTCTACACAAGTCTGGACTGTTTGAGATAAAAGCATGCAGGAAGCCACTGCTTACTTCAACACACAAGACAGCACAGAGTATGCAAAAGAGCATATAAATAGACCAGATGAATTTCCGAACAATATTATGTGGTCTTTTGAGATCAAAATTGAACTTATTGATCACAATTCACACAGATATGTGCGGCGAGGAAAAAAAAACTGTGCCTATAAGGATAAGAACATCATTCCCACAGTAAAACATGGTATGTTAACACTGATGTTTTGTGGGTGTATGTCTGCATCAGGGACTGGAGCTCTGCAGAAAGTGGAAGAAAGAATGAATGCAGTCCAATATGAACAGATTTTAGAGCAAAGCCTCGTACCATCAGTGAAAAAGCTATAAATGAAGTATGGATGGATCCTGCTACAAGACAATGATCCAAAACATAAAGCTTAAAGTCAGTTGTGACAAGGGTTAAAAGACCCTTGCCTTGCCAGTCTCCAAACCTGAATATAACAGAATGGATAGATTTGAAGTAAGCAGTACAAGACAGACAGCCCATCAATCTGGTAGAACTGGAGTTAATATGCCAGCAAGAATGGACTAACTTTACACCTGAGATCGTACAAAAGTTGACAATATTTCTTACTTTTGATGATCTTTGTCTTACTTCTTTTGTCATTTCAAAGTAAAAGGATGCAAACTTTTGTACTCAACTGTATCTGGAATTACAAGCTATATCATTTAGATGCTAAAAAGATGGTAGGTTTAATTTTTCTTAATCAGAATTGAACCTTGTCACACAGAGCTCACTTTTTAACTGGTAAACTCAGCTCATTCACATTGACTCAACTTACCCAGTACCCATAGATCCCAGTGCGAGTGTACGTGACCTGGATGTCTCTGATGAAGGGGACGTGCTCTATCTTTGAAAAGAACAGCAGGAGCAGGCCCTGCATTCGTATGGAGGACACCTGGGAAAGGGCGGGATAGAGAATGTGACCATGTTGGTTTAGTTATTATAAAGGAAATGACAGAGCACAGAGAATATTAAAAGCACAAAATATCATTTTTGCCACCACAGCCATGAATGTAATCCACAGTAGTGCACTATACCACAGCAGTAAGCAAGCATTCATACCAGTGTTATTCAACTCCAATCCTGGATGGCCAATGTCCAGTACAGTTTGTTGATTTCCCTGCTCAAACGCACCTACAATCCTGTCAATTACAGATGAGTTGTGTCAGGTGTGTTTGAGCAGGGAAATGACCAAAACATACTGGATACCACTGAGAACAAAAGTGAAAGACTCTTTACTTTAACATAGCCCAGAGGGGCCAGCGTGTTCATGAACAAGTGACTCCAGGAATCGCCAAACACCAGATCGATCACAAACTTCAGAGGTGCTGCCCTCACCTCCTGTAGGCTAGGAAAGAACACAAGAACATAAACAGTAGCTTAGATAGACACTTGTTTATACCTATAAATAAAAAAAATAATGTTTTCTTTGCAGCTTTGAACTAGAAAAAGCTAACTAACTATAAGTCAAATAATAAAAATAAAAAAAAACACTAAAAAGCTACAGTTACTGAACAATTTGTTCATATGAGTATCCAGATTTTGATGACATTCCTGACTGTTCCTATGAAGGAAGCTAGAGCTGCAGTCATGGCAGCTAAAAGAGATTTACTCTCATAGTATTTTATAAAAAATTAACCCAGTTAAACCAAAATATATCTTTAAAATGTTATGTAAGTGAAAACTGACACAGACTTTCTGAACGAATTATGACTTGACTGTGCTACAATGCATTTATGACTATGATGTGGTGCATGTTTGTTATTCGATGGCCAGTTTATAAGACCAAGACAGTGAAAAATGTTTCGTCCTGACTCTAAACACTTTGGTGCTCACCCGATCACATAGAGGTCCGCTTTCTTTGAGGAGTTAAGCTGGAGCAGTGACGTGACATCATCAGGAGGCTCTGCTGTAGCCACATTCCATGTGACCATGTAGAGCCTGTGGGAAAAAAGAAATTAAGTATGAGCGACAGAAAGAATGAGGCAATTCGAGTAAAATACTTTAACCTGACACACCTTTAATGAAGCTATTTTTCAGCTTCCTTTCCCGCTTAAATAATCTGTCTGGTATGTAAAAGTCTTACTGGTCCTCATAACTCCTGTGATTAACAATAACTGTTTCAACTAATCGCCACAAGAAATGCCAAGCAAAGTACACCGTAGATTAGGATCTCAGACTGCCCTATCCATCTTAGCCATTTTTGGAGCTGATAAATGACACAAACAGGTTTTTTCCAAGAAGCCACTCTTCTTCCCGACCAATCTAAAAACACAGCTCATGAGAAACTATTTAGAAAAACAAAAAGGTCTGCAGCGTTACACAAACACGGCTATTATAGACACAGAAAAAACAAAAGCTCCAGGCGAAACCTTCATCAATGTGCTCATTCTTTCTTGTTAGAAGAAAAAAAAACACATAAGACACCAACAGACAATTCCTGATAGGAATTGACCCCACTGATGCTCTTGTGGCTGAATGCAATTAAAAATCCTCACAGCAATGGTCCAACTTACAGTGTAAAGCCTTCCCAGAAGAGTAGAGGCTGTTACGGCAGCACAGGGGAACAAACTTCCAATTGATACCCTTGATTTCAGAAGAAATATTGGATAACCTTACAGTGTATATTACCAGGCATCTCACAATTATAATATGCAGCAATATAATCACAATACTGGTAAGTTGTCCTTATCAAGCAGGCTTAATTTCTAGCATGAAGGAAAACCAGGCAAATGCTTCATTATTATACTCTTTTTCCCAAAAATTATAAAATGTTATTGTGAAAAATAAATTGATTGTGCCCAACATCAGATTCCTGGCATGAAGGAAAGCAAAGGCCCATAAACCAAATAAAAGCTTTTAAAACCTTGCAAAATAGACAACCTGAACTGATCTTTCTTGCGTTGCTGAGCCCTCTGTCCACAGATTTGAAAAGCCCCGTCAAGGGTTTTGGTCACCTGGGCATGAATTTTGTCTTTAGGGTCCAGGTCATCCACACAGGTCATCAGCATGGTCAGCCGCTGCCGCAGTAGCATTCGGCTGCCCGTGGACTGAGTGCCTGTGCTAGCCACGCTGTCTGAGCGAGGTCGCATCTTAGTGCTGAAATGTGCGTTAATTTCTTCCATGTTGTCTCGCAGCGTCCGTCTCCACAGTCACGTCTAATTCAAGAAGAAGTAGCTCAAGGCCAATATTCACAATGAACTCTAAGGCGACCTCTCTGTATCTGCATTAAGCTACTGCACAAGACCGTCGCTCTGCTAAGCAGTGATGCAAAGCAAGCATAAAAGAAGAATTGTTAGAGAAGTTTTGAGTTCAAGCGTATCCAATGCAAGAAACTTAGTTCCAGTGTCTCAGCAGCCAGCAGCTCTTTCCCACCCAGCAAGGACAATGTGAGGGCTGCAGTGGGCTGGACTTTGGACCAGCTTAGAGAAGTAACTGGACTCAAAGAAAAGCCACGTGAGAAACACAAACAATTTAGGCTTTACGTCACAGTCATGTCTTAACATATTAGCTTATTATGCTGGCCAAAATGTTGGCTCACAAAGGGCAATTGTAAAAAATGTTCAAGAGGGATGATCTGGCTTAATCGTAACGTCTTGGTTTGATATGTCTTAATGAATCCAAAGCAACTTGGTATGCAAACCTTAAAAATGGATTGAATTAGTGTATCCAGACAACCGGACATCTTAAGTCAGAGGAGTCCCCAATCCTAGGCCTTGAGATAAACCACCCTGGAGACTCCAACACTGCTTGCTCTACTGTTCAGATGCCACCTGGAGCCCTTTATTACCTGGATCAGGTCTGCTACATTAGGATTGCAGCTAAAGTCCACAAGGTGGTAGATGTCCAGAAATACACACACCTCACTTAAGTAATACAACAACATCAACCCAAAAGCGATGGGAATGGGGTTTGGCAGTTTTGGAAAGTGTCAGGAAAATGGCATCTCTTTACAGTACCCTTCAAACCGAGCCCTGATATGCGCTGTGTTGAAATGGTTCACTCGTGAACTCTATCACTATTCACTACATGTGATGTATGACTTCCACAGTAGAGGGTGAAATATATAAAATACTTAATTTCTACCTTAATATCTAAAAAACTGCTTGTTGAAGAACATTATTTTTAAACTGCTGGATTTTTGCTGAGGCATTTTTGGTAAATTTGCAAGCCTCAACCCATCCTTGCTCATAAAGGACTCAGCCTTTCCTGGATGCTCCTTTTATATCCAACCATGACTGCATCACCTGCTTAAGATGTTATTTGAACATTCACAATGTTTCTAGTCTTAAACTGTCCCTGTCTTAACTGTTTTGGAACATGTTACAGGCATCAACTTCAGAACCAGCACATATTTACAATATTTACAAAGAAACAATGAGTTGCTAAGATAAAACATTATGATACGTTTGTACTGTTTTCATTCAAATGCAGGTTAAGGGCTGATTTATAAATCACTGCTTTCTTTTAATGTGCATTTTATCCACTGTCCCAACTTTTTACTTGGGTAAAAAAATGCAGTAAAATGAATAAAATGCAGACATTTTGGCGTAGCGTCACCTCAACGTTCTGCTCTTCCAGAGTTGAATAAATACGTCACCAAATATTGGTTTGATTTACCTGTCAAATATTAACATCAGTCCGGTAGCATTTTTTTAAGCACACGTCTGCAGATGTTATATCGATATTATTGCGCGTCCCTAAAATCTAAATATCTAAAATATCCAGAATGTCTCATGTTTGAAAAGCGGAGCCAAAGTCTCTCTGATCAAACAGCTATTCATAACAATTTGTGAGGAAATTACAATAACAATAAACATTTACTACTTTTTTGCCCCGTCATAATACTGTTCCCAAAATACTCTAGATTAGGAATAAGCCATCAGTTTATGTTCAGGTGTATAGTTTAGAGCATTTCAATCTGCACCGTATACTGTATTTTTATGATTCTACACTTTAGAGTGGTAGTGTACGTTTAGGGCGTCTTTGCTTTCCTTTTTATTAACTGTTGCTTTTGATTCATGCCTGCAACCACAGCTTTGATGTTACTCATGATAAAGCACTTCCTCTTGTGTTCTCTCTATCTCTTAACTCACACATCTCAAGGTCTAAGCACTCTGCACACTGTACTTTTTCACTGTCCAGTCCACACAGAGGTTTTTGAAACATGCAACCACTTTCTTGCATTACTGTCTGTGACAGAGGTCTTCAGCTACAGACCTCAGTCTTCTCTAGTGGGTGTGACAATGAACTACATATACTGAACTATAGTTCAAAGAGTCTTCAGCTTTATGGAACACAGCAGATTCTCAGAAGTCACAGTTCAAAAAGTTTTTTTTTATTTTTACTTCTACAAGCTATAACATCAAATAAACTACACACAAGGACCTGAGCGAAGTCAGCATACATTTAATGTGTTATACAACCTGTAGCATCATACTTCTCCCATATATGACCCGCTTTGGCCCTCATAAATAGAAACCACTCGCTCTGCCTGGTGCATGTTGAGAAACCTAATCACTGAGGTCTAATCCTTTACTTTTTTCTTACATCACTAGCTTCTCATTTTGCCCACAAAGAGGTTGTGCTGTTCACGCTGAGGATCTGGAGTGTTGAAACACAACTTAAAAAAGCTTGAGTTTCTGAAGCAGAACAACAAGGCTTATCCTGACTATATGAAACGTTGTGCTCAGGCCATGCTACTGTCTTACATCACCATGTTCAGAACATATCAGACAATCAGTCAAACCTGAAGGTGTCCATCTTATGGTCCAGACTGACAGAGCTCAGGGCACTGGACAAGGCCTCCTGCTCCATCTTCACACCTGGCAAACACACAAATAGTTCATGCACAGCCAAAAAAACTAAATATATGGTACAAAGAGTAGTTTAAACAGCTGCTCCGAACAAGTTATTGACTATACAGCAAATTAAAAGTCTGCAAAATTATGTACCTTGCTATTTTTCCTGTATCTCTTTGCATTAGCTATCTAGATATCATGAATAGATATATAGATATTGACAAATTTCTTTATAAAATAGGTATATAGCAACACTACGACAATCTACAAACATTCTAGTGCACTGTGTAGTAATACATATATATCAGTATATACAACAAGAACTAATAATAATAATAATTATTATTATTAAACTTTCATCTCTGTCCCCCAGTAACACCACCTTGTAACAATTCATAATACTGGTGCATTGTCCTATAGCAGGGATGGGCAGTATGACTGTATTTATCATTATTGTGATAAATTACGCCACGATATGTCACAATATGCTTTTCCAAGCATATCGTGGATATCATCAGTACTTATAAACACTTCCCAACTGCATGTTTGATCATTAGTACTGTTGAAGTGAATTGGGTGTGGCACTGTGTGTAAAATGTGTAAAATAAATCACTAAATACGTAGTTTTTGACAGTATTTTCTATACTATAACGTGGCACTACTTTGTCTTTTACAATTCATCAAACAGCTGAAAAAAATTTCACGTATCGTGAAAAGTTCTTACAGTATCGTGATATTACATTTTTGCCATAACACCCACCTCTACAATGTAGTAAACAACAGAACCTCTACTGTAAGTTACTATAAGATTCTAGGCCCACTTTATTTCAATAGACCCTTACAGATCATCTACAGATGCTCAGATGGTTACTTAAGCATCAATCTGTTGAAACTGGTTAAACTTGCTTTTCTACAGTGTCACGGTCGGGTTTAGGGTTATGATTACGCTTGGAGTTGAGGTTAAGGTTCAGTTTAGATTTAAGAGAAACATGCCAGCAAAATAACAGCTGACCCATCTCATCCTGGACATCACCTGTTCCAGCCACTCCCCTCTGGTAGAAGATTCAGGGCCATCAAAACCAGCAAAACCAGACATACTATTTTTTCCTTTAGTTAAATATTTAATAACAGCCTGTTTGCTTGTCTGATCTATTTGGTATGTTAGCTAGGTTAACTCACCAGGACAAATCCCCTGTATGTGGAACACGAAATAAAGTGATTCCAAGTCTGAAACTATTACATTCAGCTTCAAGTTCAGGTTCAATAGCTCTTCTGTTCAGTCTTCGTTAATTAAAGAGTATTTACAGCGTATCTACAATGGGACTGTCCTATAGGTTAGCTAGTTTTCATACGGGTTCTTTTCAGTACCAGCAGCTAAAAAAGCGATGTCTTATCACGTTTTTGATTCAAGTCCGTCATAAACTGAATAATCTCAAACTTTCATATCATATAATGTTAGTATATATTCCACACATATCGTTACCTTATCAGAACTTCAGTGTTTGTACTGTAAAACACAACCAGACGAAGTTAAACTAGTTTGACACTCGTCCATCATCACCGGTCGCCCACAGAGCACAGCTGTAGCGTTAACTGCTAACTAGCTGCTGCTAACGCTCGTTACCATTTTAAACAGCCGGAAAAACACAGTCGTTTTAAAACGTTCCCAAGTAATGAGCTACCAAACTACCTGGCGCTCTTCTCTTGCCGTCTTTCTCAGTCCGAAGGTCCTTGTAACACTGAGCAGAAGGTGGTGGTAATGAAACTGAACTGCTTCTTCCTCTGCGCCGTGTTTACTGGCCTGCCTTCACTGCATGGCTGTGTCCGAAACCGAAACCAGCGTCTCAAACGGTCGATTCAGACTATACTGGGTGTCTTCCTGCCTGAGAATACTGCCTAAGTAGGCAGCATTTGTTACATTTCGGACACAGCCCACATAGCTACAGGTGAAGCTGCTCACACGTACAAAACATCAACACAGACGCTAGATTTCAAAATATGAGTCCCAACAGGCGCTCTCGTCTGTGTGCTTGTTTAAAATTGTAAATTAAGAGTCTCAATGGAAGTGTCCTTTTTCTGTGTGCATGATCATAATCTCTCACTTGTACTGCTGGTCGTTTTAATTACTTTCTTCAATAATACAAAATCTGTTTTTTCTTTTCAGACACATGTATCAACACTCGCTGTAATATGATGCTAGTTCTCTATAATTTCATAGAGTTCATAATTAATTTGTAAAAATTGTTGAAATAAGCTTTAAAGTAGGCAAAAGTTAAATACATTATAACAAAATTAAAACCCAGAACATCTCATGTTGGCTTTAATGATTCAGCTTTCTGTTTTTTGTTTGTTTGTTTCATTTGTTTCATTAATTTTAAGGGTTAATCAATTAACTTTCAATTAACTAAAAAAAAAACTATAAATATATCATTTTATACCTTCTTGTTGTGCCCAAAAACCATACTGAATACAGTATCTACAAAATATTTTCCATTTTCTAGTTTAAAAAGAACCCAAAAAATGAGTGTCTGTATTTTTAGCATCTTAACTGTCACAGATGGCTTCACCTTATTATTTTCAAGCTCTGTTTGTGTCAAGGTAAGTTTTTTTTTTTCCATTATAGATATTGCTTAAATATGTGAGCAGAATCCCTGAAAGACAACTCTCATAACTGTCTGAAGCCCCGTCTCAGACAGTATTCTATTGGCTGATGCATAGATACATCAGGCTTCATTCATCCATCCCTCCATTCATTCATTCATCCATTCATTCATGTATGTCACAGGGGTGGGTAGAGTATCTAGAAAGGCTAAAACCGCAGTTATCCAAAAGTGTTACTTCAGTGGAATATTGACTCAACCAGAAGGAAAAATAGCGACCAAAAACATAGAACCCAGGGAACGTAGAACTGCAGTGTACCTTCTTAGCACATCCAGAATCTATCAGTATAGAAACTGAAGTCTGTTTAGCGTATTCATCTCTTGTTGTTGTCTTAAGTAAAATTAAGGGAGAGGTGTGGGCAGCAGCAGAGCAGCACAGGGGCTGAAACCAACAGAGAAGAATCAAGAGAATAAAGAGTTGTAAAGATAAGAAAAACAGCCTGTTTAATTCTAAGCGATAAAGAGAGGTGGGAAAAAGGCAACATAAAAGTGAATTATTACTGTTTTCGATACATACACAAACATCAAAAGCAGATCTCAGGGTGGAAAAATAAAAACAAGAAAAATGTAGGATAAACCTGACAGGTTTAAGTGCTGTTTAGTGCTGAAATCCTCAAGGTGGTTCTAGAGCTGTTATTAGTGCAAATATTTACTTGTGATTCTAATTTACTCTAAATAAACTTTGTTACTCTGAAGCAGTGTTAGTGTAGTGGGTAGCACCACTGCTACCAGCACACCACGCTATACCAGTAAGAGTACTAAACCAAAACACAAAAAGAAATTAAAACTAATTATTAGGGATTAAAATATAACTAGGGGAAATTAGATAACATTCTTTACAGATATACTTCATTCATTCACTTACTGAAAGCCATAAACTGTACTTCTTACCTGGGTTATTAACTAAGCCAACAATAAACATGAAAGTACACTGCAAAAATATATATCTTGGCAAGTGAAAAAATCTCAAATCTAGTCAACATATCTAATATTTCTCATTTTGAGATTTTTGCAAGCTTATTGTAAGATTCGATCACATAATCAGAAGGGAGTAGAAGAACTGGGAGTGACCGTAGGCTTGTAGGATTAGAGAAGGTCAGAGAGATAGGAAGGAGCAAGACTGCTGAGAGCTTTGTAAGTGTGAAAAAGGATCTTAAACTGTATCTGTAAATTGTAGTAAGTTAAATTATCTCACTATATTGGCTGATAAATTTGCCTGTTTCAGGCATATTTTTTACAGCAAGCAAAATTATCTGGTAACATGGTGAGATCGTTCAACTTAATACGATCACTTAGAACAAGTACAAATGTCTAGAAATTAGTTAAATAATCTTATAACAAGCTTACAACAGTCTCAAAATGAGAAATACTACATATACCTAATACATATTTAATACACAGCTAGATTTAAGATACATTCACATGCCCAGATTTCACTTTTTTGCAGTGTATATATATAAATAAACAGATCACCAACCACTTTATTGGGAACACTATACTCATACTGAGCAGGGCCTCCCTCTGCTCTCAAAACAGCCTCAATTCTTCGTGGCATGAATTCCACAAGATGTTGGAAACATTCCTTTGATATTCTGGTCCATCCTGACACGATTGTATCATGCAAGTGAAGATTGATTGTTACTAATAGGCCCAGGAAAAAATAAGTGTGCCAAGAAAACTTTCCCCACACCATTGTACCACCTCCACCAGCCTGGACTATTGACACAAGGCAGATTGGGTCCATGGATTCAAGCTGTTGGCATCAAATTCTGATCCATACCATCTTTGTGCCTCAGCAGAAACTGATGATTCACAAGACCACACAGTCTTCAACTGTCCACTTTTGGTGAGTGTTTGCCCACTACAGCCTCAGCTTTCTGTTCTTGACTGACAGAAGTGGAGCCTGGCATGATCTTCTGCTGTTATAGCCCATGCGGGCTGACCTGATTCTTCAGAAAAAAAACTTGTCATGGCTTTAGTTTTTTAGTAAAACCAAATTGTGCTGGGATTTACTGGCTTAAGAGTTCTATTGGAGTGAAAGCTGCTGCCCGGAAAAGCTAAAACTTGTGGGTTAATTATTATTGTTAATTATTAATTATTAGCATTTTTGTCTATGCCAGAACTAGCTCATGTCTCCTTTTTGACTAGCGTTATTTCTTCTAATTCTCCTGAGAAAAAACACTATTAAGTCTCTTGAGCCAAAGAGCAACATTGGAGCAATACATTTTTTATCTGAGCAGGACAGAAAAAAAGTATCAGAAAAATATTTACTGGTGTGTTTTTTTTATGTGCGTTTACATGCACTTTAAAACTTTCTGGGAGTTTGATTACTGGATTCTAGGTCTGCTTGTTTCTTTCGCCCATGTATCTTCAGTCCATGATAAAGTTAACCATTATTTAACTAACCAGTGAGAAAAAGGATATTCCCCTTTGATCTAGACTGTTTCCTGTCCATTTATGCACCAATGCCCTCATTAGTGTTATCTCTGTGAATGTGTGTAATATGGATCTATTTAAACTGTTCCAAAATCCCCCGAAACCTCATTTTTATGACTCATGACTGCTCAGCAGATTTGGGATGTCAGTCCAAAAAAAAATGTTGACTCACATGAGCAGAAAATGAGTCTAGTTCATGATTGAACACAGTGCTGGATTCTGAGTGCGCTTTACTGTAAAACCTGTAATCCTGGAAACAACCACGCTAGTTTTAACATATCTTAAAGCAAAAGGCATTTTGACTTGTTTGATCTGGGCAGTGATGCTATCTTCAGTGCTAACAGTACATAGTAAATACCATCTAAATTCAAGGTTGTTGCAAAGTGAGTTCACGTCCAGGAATTCCATTCTAATAGTACTTAGCAGGAACTGTTAACAGGACTTGTACTTACATGCTTTACTGAAGATGTTTGTCTGTTTTTGGGCAGTTTAACTCTTTTACTCCATCCTTATTATTCAGCGTCATTATCCAGACTTGTCCACTACTATAAACCAGCGTTTCTTTGTCTTCTTAATTGATCCCAGACTTCACCACATGAAAACAGCATATGTGCATGTTTTATGTTTTACTGGTTACTTGGCACCACCAAAAGTCCCTTAGAAAAGCCTTCTCCTCCTCTGCTGCTGATAACAAATGAAGTGTTGAAAGATCAGGCAAACGTCATATAAACAGTTTTATTTTCAGCACATATTACAGGATACAGCTTCAGTTTGGACAGCAATGAGGACAGCGCCTTCTTCCAAAGTTTGATGCTTCTTTTACCACTCCCTGTCCATATGCAATCATTTTTCATATTTCAAATATGTGCATAAGTCATACTTTTTTAAAAATAAAAGAACATGATGTCATGTACGCGTTGGTAAAGTTTCAAAATGTACCGTTCACTCTCCAGTCCATCCAGTCTATTTATGGAAACTAAGCTGCAGACAGCTCATTTTGAATTGATGTCACATGTAACATACTTAAATATATACACCTATTCAGCCTACAGCAGTTTAGCATCGCCAATTCACACTGAAGTTATAAGGAGTGTTTCAGCATGGACTGCTTTTTGAATGAGGCACAATGCAGAGCAGCCAATCAAAGCAGAGGTCATTTTCATATATCAGTCATAAAGATACAGTAAGAAAAACAGCCTGTTTAATTCTAAGTGATAAAGACAGGTGGGGAAAAGGCAACGTAAAAGTGAATTATTACTGTTTTTGATACATACACAAACATCGAAAGCAGATCTCAGGGTGGAAAAATAAAAACAAGAAAAATGTAGGATAAAGGCCTTTTATCTGACAGGTTCAAGTGCTGTTTAGTGCTGAAATTATCAAGGTGGCTCTAGAAATGTTATTCGTGCAAATATTTACATGTAATTCTAATTTAATCTAAATAAACTTTGTTACTCTGAAGCAGTGTTAGTGTAGTGGGTAGCACCACTGCTTCCAGCATATTCCAGTAAGAGTACTTGGGCAAGACTCCCAATGCCATATTTGCCAACATTTGTATCATAATTAAACTGTCGGACTGCGTTGACAGGACATTTTGATATCTGTCAAAATGTGTTGCTGGTTTGTTGGCGCCATGTTTGTGGGTGGAGACCGATATCAGCAGGAAATTATTCCAATATAAAAGCTCAAAAGCGAAATCTGCTGGCAGTTGCTGCTCTTTTTCATAAAAGGAAGCAGGTTTGATTAGTAATCAAACTATTCGCTATCCTACTATGTCTGGATTGTACAGCTCTA